AGGAAAAGGAAAACAGGGGACAAAAGCAAAAAGAAGTGATAAAAAGCTAAGAGTGAGTGAGTGAGTGGAGAGAATCGATTGTGTCAAGAAAAGTCGGCTCACCTAACCAAACCCAAAACCCGTCACGATTTCCTTCATCTCAACTCTGGGACAAACACAAGTGGATCAAAAGCAATGATTTTTATTGGGTCGAGTAGTCGTACGAGAGTCGCCGTACTTCATTATAGCAAAGAGCAACGAGTGCAAATCATAAGTGGTGAACATTCTCTCATCGAGTGGTCAGATCTTTATCGGCCGGGGGACCAAGTGCGAAGAAAAAAATGACATCATCCAACCAATTGACCAATGCCATCAATTTGTCGTCATAACTGATTCATAATTAAAAAAAACACGGCTGGGGAGGCGACGGGACAAATAACTCGAGACGCGACCGAGGACTTTTTTCTCTCTCATTCCTCGAGCTAAACTAACGATTTTTGGACGTAATGGTGATGGGGAATGGTGCTACTTGTGATATATAATATTGCCCCATTGGTTGTTGTGACCCATACCATCATCATCATCACCATCATCCCTCCTGACCGACCGGATGTAGCGAGATGAGACTGGAAGGAGCAGGCAGGCTTTCTTCCCCTCCTGCTTTCTCTCAGGCAGCTACACACACAGGTTGGGAGGAGAGGAGAAAGTCACCACCACCACCACCACTTGGACTAAACTGTGAGAGAGGGGAGATTCTTGGATTGCGACGTTGATGGTGCGGATGTGGTCGTTTCTCTTTGGAATGGAGGCCGACCAGTGTTCAGGAGGTCACTCAGGCAGCAGTAAATGTTGGACGTGTAATGGGGCAGACTTGTTAAGCGGACGAGAGGAGGAAGGTAGGAATACAACATCAAAAAGGATGAGGCAATTTGCCAAGCACTACTTATTGCACCTGCCCACCACCACCAGCGAGCGAAACGAACGATTCTCACCTGCGTCCTCAATTCTTCTCCTCTCGCGGAGAATTACTACTTTCCTGCAATTCTCTCCTCCTTCCAACACAGAATTCAATAAGCGATTCAACCAGAAAACCAGACACATAAAAAAACTTTTGTCATCATTATCGTCATCACCACCGCCGCCGCCACGAACCGCACACGCTCCCTCCCGTTTCTTCCCTGGTTAAAAACTTTCTCTGATGGAAATTAACATGACTGATTGCAAACAAGGGCGACTATAACTTTAACTATTTTAAGTGAAAGTGACGCGAACATGGTGACCTGGCAGTCCTTCTTGGGTTGGCGTGATTTCCAGAAATTTGGACTCCTCGCAACTTTCACTTAATAAATCTCTGGTAAACAACTGCTCTTCCTCCTCTCAACCCACAACTCTTCTTGTCCTTTCACTCCTCTTTTCCTATCTTCTCCTCTTTGAATAATTTAGCCTCCTCCGTGTACGTACACACACACACGCTTCCAAATATACCCTTATATCTTGTACATATGTGCATGAATAGGTACGTGTATATACAGTACAGGCGGTTTCGTTGGAAATTGTGTAATTGCTACAGAGAGACAAGTAGACAACTCATCTCCAGCCGCGTGGACTGACACATGCATGCAGTTGACAGGATTGGAGTGGGAGGAAAAGAATGAGAATTTTGGAATTAAGAATCTCACCACGACCATGGCAAGAACAACAACTTGTCTCTCTCATTACTATTATCCTGCCGCATTGTCAACCAACTCTCTCTCTGATCGTCATCCTCATCTTTCCGGCACATATTTATTTAATCGCCACCACCGCCACTATTTAACCGTGAAAAGTAAACAAACCCAGCGAAATGATTAGGAAGAAGAAGAAGTGTCTTTCCACATTTTCTAAAAACATTTTCTCTTCCGCAGCCCTTGCTGTTTGATCGGGAAGAGACAAGTTGCTGTCGAGGAAGAAGAGAAGAAGAACAAGAAGAACAAGCAGTTCTCTTCGTCACAACTCAAACTCAGTTTGCTCACATCACATCACAATCATCCGGCCGAGAAAGGAGAGAGAAAGCGAAGGGAAAGTAAAGTTCTTCCTTTCGTCTCGATATTCTCCACTCTCTCGTCCAGAGAAACACTTTATTTTACTTTTCTCTCTCCTTTTTCCTCCTCACCCAACGAACCAAACCAAATAGCCGGAGCAGAAGAGCAAGCAGCAGCAGGAGCATCTTCTGCACACACATTTCATCACATAGCATAGCATATCATAATCATCCACGTTGGCACTGCGGATTCCACTAAATATATATCATGGCCTAAAAGTAGACCAACTGCATACACAACAATTTGTGACTGTTGTGCTATAATTTCCCCATATAACTTTCCACCAACTGCGACCATACTTCGAGAAGAGTGGCACGAAATGAGACAATTGCCCATCCAATATGTAGACTACGGTTAGGCACGACGATCACGTGCCCTCATCCTGCTGCCCCACTGCCAATTAATTTCACGGAATTAAGCAGTCCTTTTCTTCTTCCTCCTTTCTTTCTTTCACTGTTCTGAGTGAGATCTGGTTTCGCTGGCCTCTCTTTCTCTCTGCCAAACCAATATTCCATTGTTGTCGGACATTATTATTGTCCTTTTCTTCACCACACACACACACACATGACAAGGGCGACCAAATGAAAATCTGCCCAAGTCAAAGCAAAGGGAATCAATACAAGAAGAGAGGAAGGGAAGAAAGGGGCGTACTAATCAATAAAAATAGTCGGATTGCAGATTATGCCGTCACCCCGTCGGACAGGAGATTAGGCAACTTTCTCCACCAAACTCAACACCTTATTCTTTCTGGGAGACCACCTCCACCACCGTCGTCGTGGCTCCAGGCCTCACTTTCTGTCCCGTGTCTCCTTTGCATTCTTCTCCTCCAGCAACAAGCCACCCCTTCTCGCATTCAATTCCATTGTTTATTTACTTTAATGTCAACTTGGTTAAATTTTCTGCGGAGAAATCAAATGGCTCTCTTTCCTACTCGAGGACAAGTCTCAACTTTGAAATTGTTTCTCACCCTGAGATGCTGGGCATAGGGCTTGAACCACGTATACGAGGAGGCGAGGGACGATATATGCATGTACATTTTTGCTCAACTTTTCTTCCTTTTTGGTTTTGGGCCTGGGCGAAGAAAGTGAAAGACTGTGGCGATGATGATAAGGCTGGGACGACTGGCTCACTAACCAACCAACCAGGCTCTCACAAATAGGAGAATACGACCTGGGGCAGTACCACACAGCCAGCAAATGTCTACGTGTTACTCTTTTAACCCAGAAAGAAACTTGCCTCGGCCCAGAGATAGATAAGTAAGGAGACCTTTATCAGATAAGTAGAAAAGGGAGGAGAACATCATTTCATTTCACATTCACTCTACATCCTAAAAAACTTTACATACATGTTTTCCATAAATTGCAAATTTAGAAGAAATCATGCCAAAGGAAAGTGGTTGGTTAAGGTGAGCTAAGGCTGTTCTGCATAAAAAAGGGCGACATTCTCTGTCTCTCTCTCCTTCCCAATCCCATTTTCTTAGTCGCTATGTTGGATCTCGAACCAACTAAGAAGTACGAGCAGGGTTGTAAAAAGTGTGGCGAATCCTTGAGCAAAAGGCAACCCCTTTTATCAGAAATGAGTACTTTCCCCAAAGGCGGAACCCTGGGTTCAAAAACTGTCCCAATTTTCCAAAACAGCCTCTTTCCTCTTCACATGCATGTCCTGTTGAACTTTCAACTTACTCAATTTTTCCAAAACTTGCCTGTTAAATGCGTGTTTAAACGAATGTTGACACACGTCCTCCAAGGATGAGACACTGTTTGACTTGTTTTTTCTCTCTCTCTTTCCCTTTTTCTCTTTACTTTCTCGCATTAAAGCCTATATTTTGTCCCCAAAGCTGAACACATACGAATGCACGCTAGTTAGTAACAACTTGTTCTTTTTGGAAATATTACAAAGGGAAATACTAATAATATGTAATATGGATAAGGATAAAAAGTTATAAAAGTTGAGACAAGTCGAACTCGCAAGGATTAAAACTTTCTTCTGTCAACTGTTTCTGTTTTTACTTATGATGGAGGAGAAAAGAAACAATTTCGAGATACATACACATGGAAATTGTGTAAAAATAAGTGCCAAATAAAAATTCTTACAAATGTCATGAGTCACAAGCAATTAAGGAAATTGTGTGACATTTCTGTCTTTCTCTTTCTCGGGTAGATTCATTTCGACAGAGAAGCAATAATGATAATGGCCGCAATTTCTTGTTAACTATGTACTAACTAAGGCTGGAGGTGGAGGAGAGGTCCATTAAAATATTGCATTTTACATGGTTTACCTTCCAGTAGTCGAGTGAGTGATTACCTTGAAAGAAGGGTTGCGACACTTGGCTCCTTCAAAGAAATACAAGCTGAATGAACAAACGAGGACAGCACAACATCAGACCAAAGGACGCATTATTATCATCATCTCGCATTATAAAGTAAGACCGAGAAAGAGAAGAAGAAGAAGAAGAAGAAGAAGAAGAAAAACAGGATTGAGAAAAATGCAGTTCCTTCTCCTCTCTCCCAACAGCCAAGTAAAACGAGTTAGAGTCCATTATTATCCCACTTTCTCTTTTTCTGTATATGGGCCAAATAAAAAAAGGAGCTGAATGTGAAAACTTTTTGGTTTCCTTCCAACGATAGATTACTTGTTGATTGATTGCCAATGTTGGGAAAAATGCGCCATCCGAATGGGTCAACTAGACCCTTAGTGCAAGAAAAGATTAGCATTAAACCCAATTTAGTGCCCTATATTGTAGCAGCGTTAGATAATGGGTTCCTAATTTCCAACTTAGGACATCTCGTCACTGCTCTGGCTGTGCTGGTGGTGGTGATAATTACGACCGGGTGGATTTGCGAATATCATTATGTGGGGCAGAATGGGTATTATGGGGATGGGATCAGCAGGGTATGCATGCACTAAAAGAGAAAATCGGTAGGATCGCAGTAACAAAAATTCAGCTAAATTTTTTCGGTTTTACTTTCACAACTTTTCAAGACTGGACGATTTTCTGGGACGATTAAAGATTTTCGTGTTAGCTCATTCTACACTTATTATATACTTTTAAAAAGTAATTTTTTAGCAATACAGCACCACCACAACCATTCCATAACTAAGGATATATGCATACTCATAATAATAATAATATAGGATACACTATCTATAAACGATAAGGAATAAGAGGAGAGAGACATTATTATGACGGGTACAACTATATCATAGGAGTAATCCTGTAATAAGTAGAACAACAACAACAAAAACAGGGAAGGAAATAATAATGGCAGAAATTTAGTCTCATATTAGTTAAGGTTGCACTCTTGCTACAAAAAAATAAAATAAAGTAAAACTGCCAACAATAGCAGGGCCGGGAGAGTGATAACCGCACAGCAGCATTCAAAAAATATAATAATAAATTCGATCGTATTCTTTACTTTATAATGATGGCAGAAGAAGAAGAAGAAGTTGAGAGTGCTCCAATTTTTCCAAGAATTCGGTCCGTTGGGTTGATGTGATTAAAATGAGGGGAGAGATGGAGAGGTTGAGGTGAGGTTGTTCCTTTATGATATTTTTTCATCCCGACTTGATACAGATTTGTGATCACGTACTAAAAATTGTTGTGGACAGATTGCTTCACTCTCACTTTTTGATTGTTGCGAGCAGTAAAATAAATGTAATGACGGCGCTTTGTTCCTTTCCCCGCATTTAATGGAGAGACTATGTTCTGTACTGTAGGTTAGAAACTATTTACGGCTGCGGCAGGGGCATTTCTTCTTGTTGTGTTGGGCAGGTTTACTTCCAGAATTTGTTGAACAAATCCATAAATGAGTCATAAATCATGAAAGTGATCGCCACATCTAGACAAACACGACTCAATCGAGGAACCGTTCCTTTGTAGAATCTGTATGGGAGAGAGAAGTTGAAAAATATATCAAAAAACTTTGTACACCAGCACTTTTCACGTAATAATGAGGTGGAGATGGTATAAATAAAAAAAGGATGAAAAAATAGTGGTGATTGGGCAGGGTAGTCGAAAATGAATGTGGCTCTGCATCCGAAAAGAGAGAAAGGAGCCTCGATTCATGAAAGAAGAAGTGGGCCGACCTTCTAATATATCTTTCGGTCTATAAAATAAAATAAAAATGCAACCAGTCGACCCTCTCTCGGGGAGAGAATCATTGAAAAAAACTTGTTACTCACATAAAATATCGCTATCTCCCACAAAATGGGAACGCTTCTCTCAAGTAAATGAAAGAGATTTAGATTTAGACGGACAGCTGCAATAATTTTGCACTTTTTCTCCCCTCACTTTCCCTCCCTCTTTGTCGAGGTGAAAGCGAATTGACGCAAATCTAAGTTAACCAAATCCAGTAAACAATTTGAGATATGTTATGATGATGATTTCCTCTAAAAACAAGCCAAGTTGCTACATCATTTCAATCATTTTACGAGTAGAACGAGGACAACGTAGAAACTTTTCAAGTGTGGGTGGTGGTGAGAAAAACTATCCCACACGACACCACATTCCCCCATTTCCACCCTTCCTTTCACTTTTCAGGGAGGAGGAAGCTGGACCTGCACCCGGGACGACAAATGACCAACATGCAACTTTTTTATTAATATGAGATGACACTCCACCACGACGGGGATTCTTGATAAAAATGAGGAGACCGTTGGGCTGGGAGTAGAGGAAAAGTTCCGGAAATGCGGAGGCACCCAATTTTGGTTTCAAATCCATTCGATTGGAGGATTTTATGTTTGGTTCGCATTCACTTTTGCTTACTACATCCCATCACCATCATCTGTCGCGTCCATCCCCTGTCACTCAGCATAAGTAAGTAAATGTTCGAGAGAGAGAGAGCTCATGTTTGTACATGTTTGTATGCACTCACAACAACAACTCCCATTTCCCGTCTTGACTCTGATCCCATGCTGCAAAAACTGCCTGCGACGAAGATGACGACAACCTAGTTTTTTCCTTGCCTACTCTATTGCAACACTTTCCCTCCGCAGTGACAAGGAAATGAACATTTTGGACACCAGTATTTCCCTCAAAATTGATTGTTTGCCAAACTATCGGCAGAAAGGGGGACAGAAATTGAGTGAACGTGCCGAGTGTCCATACAAGTCTGCATGCATACATCTCTCTCACTCTCTTAGGAGGAAGAAACCAAGGAGAAAAACGCGGATTTGGGTTTGTCTCCAACAAACCACCACCATCGCCACACGAACCCACGAGCAAAGAGAAAGCCGACATGCTAGACGACCATCCACCGTCGTCACTACTGATATTTTACATATGCATGAGATGAGCTGAGCCGACTAAGCCGTATTCCTTGCCTGCTGCTTGCCTCTCTACTGTCTCCACTTTGGACCAACATGGCGAGGGAAAAGGTGAAGCAAAGTGACGAAGTAAATGAAGTGGTGCTAACAAAGAGAGAAAGGTAACGTGCAGGCTCGATGCATGGAATCACTCCTACTTTACTTTTACTTTTTAAGATGACGATATATCCCTCGCCTCATCCTTGTCCATCCGCACGGATTACAGGTTTACACCCGAGGACTTTCCCCACTGCCTTTATTCCTCTCCTTCATCTCCCACTTCCGTTCTGAGCAAAGTCTTACAGGGGAATATAATCCAGGGATTACACGAGGATGATAACGGCCCTTTTACAACTCCATAAACCATCAAGTTAACTTAAGTTGATAGTTATACCTCCTCCTTCAATAATAATAATACTGCCGTCCTGTTTCCCCCGCTGCTCTTCTGCGGGTCCATCAACACCGGAGACGACGCGGTCAGCTTTGGCCTACCAAGAGCATTAACGCCGCAGATATAATCAGTGAATACCACATCAAACTCGTAAATAGCTTCATCATCATCATCATCATAAAACCTGCAATCTCATATGTACCCACAAAAAATCTCATGCTCCACTCTAGGCAAAAATCTCAAACCAAATAAGACCATCAGGAGGAGAAATATCCATCATCCATCTTATTTCTCATTTTCTCTCTCCTCCTGAATACGCATTGAGCACAAAATACTCTAAATTTTCACAGCCTGAAGGAGCTCATTCAAGAGGCATTGAAATCATTGTGCCTATTCAATAGCAAGCCATCCCACCTACAACCTTTGACTCTGGACCTTTCTAACCCAGTTTCCACTAGGAGCACGACGTTTGCTGCTAGCATTCCCTCTCCCCAGCTGCCACACTTGCACGAAATGTTTAAAGTGGTGAGCTAAGTTTGGCCGCGGAGAAAGAAGAAGAAGCTTCTTGTGAACCTGCATGCAAGCCGCATTGCACCCAAAAGAATTCCATCCTCGTCCCTCCAATCCATTGGTTTTTGGGGAATCAGAAGGAGCGGATTCTGTTGTGCTGGGGAGAGTAAGTGTGGTTGCTGGGACCCACCGGAAATTCCTTTTCTTGCCATACTTCAAGTGGAAAGGATGTGACATGACAAGACGGAGATAAATAACTAGTTCATTCAGTGTCATTGGTCATCAGGATTACCCAGAAGAACTACCCACACAGAGAGAGAACTAGGAAAATTCCTACTCCCCCACACACTGCTGCATTGCATGTACACACACATTGTATGTATGTCTTCACTATCCTGCTGCAATTCCCACCAGTTAAACAAGTTAGTTATAAGCTCCCCATTTCCACTTCACTGCCGAAGAGTGAGCTACTTATTGTTCGAGAAAGCTTTTTCCCCATCTGAGTAATAAGTAAACGACGGCCAACCCTGCATGCACACCACCACCACTGGCCAAGAAGAGCACTTTCTCTTATTTGCTTGGCCTTGGTCTCACATCTTCTTCCTTCTCGGATTTATTATTACATTTATCTTGCATACGAGAACATACAACAACTCCACTTGTTTGCCTCCTCTCATAGATCTGCTTTTAGTGGGATGGAAAATATTTCTAGGATCAAATCAGAGTGTCGAATCTGGTTCAATGCATACAGTGCAAAACATGTACATACGTACGTACATTATTATTTCTGTCTTGCAAACTCCTCCCCCACGTCTGTCTCTAATAGACAATGGGGGGATTTTGGGATTTATCAAATCTTTATGTTAAGCGATATTGATTTCCATTCGCCTCTTGCAGTGAAATTTCTTGCTCGTTGAAGATCTGACATTGCTGCTGCTACTTGCTGTCGGGACAAGAAGATGCAATAGTGACACAACCATCTCCCTTCCGAAATGAACAAGAGGAAACAGACCAAGAAGAAGAAGAAGGCTGCCAACCAACAGCAGTGAAAGTGGAAACTTAACAAGAGATGGAATTGGATTCTGGATTGTGATGCGATTCCATAATTTACGAGTGTCTGAGTGACTTCTTCACCATCACCATCGCCACGAAACCAACGACCCACTTTAAACCGCAAGAAGGCATACAGTAGGAGAAGTAGCAGATGAAACGCCAGAGTCTACACGTAACCAAACCAAACCAATAATGGGCTGGTGTGGACAAACTTGGATCAAAATCTTCCATCGGAAGAAGAAGAAGAAGAGCTACTACTATCCCAGTGTCCCATCTTAATCAAGTTAAGACATGGGTTTCCTCTTAAAATACACACCGTATTCAGCTCAGTCCTTCCTTCCACCAGGTGTCCAACCAAAATGTAATCCTCTAGTCATCCAACCAACCAGGAGTTATGTAGTTTGACTAAATATGTACGTATCATTTATTCCTACGCTCATGTAATACCAAAGGGGAAAGGGGAGCAATTTGGCAGGTTCTTGTAGTACATACATATGTACGCATACAGAGAAAGTGTAGAGTCGAGCTTGGCCTGTGCAGAAACATTGCTGCTTCAGAATAGAATAGTCGAGTGGCTTCTTCTTTTTTCTGACAGATAATACAAAAATACATGCATCACTCAACCCAAACACCTACAACATTAACCCACTCACTCTCAAACCAACCAACCAACTACATTCAACCACCAACTTTCTCTCCAAGATTTATTTTCTGACTTTTGTCTGTCGGCTTTCTCTCGTGGTATGCAGGGATCAAAAGGGCGCATAGGAACAAGGCAGTCGTAGCCAGAGTTAAATTGACCCCAGTGCAGGAGTCCCACGGGGGAAATACGTGTTAGTGTGGCGCTAATTATGTAACCCTCTCGATCCTCTCTGTCTGTCTACGAAACAGAGTTTGGCCAAACTCGTTACCAATGCCAATAATAATTAACGAATCGAGTAGTACTTGCGCCATTCCGTGTATTTCTTATCATGAAGAAGCGAGGGCTCGAGAGGGGCAGTCAGTTCTCTCACCAAACGCGACATGACCTTCCCCAAAGGAGTAAACCATTTGTTTCACCAGCCAAACTTTTGATTAAATAACAAGAACTACTACTGCTTTCTAGTTATGAATGCTCAGCGTATCGCGCAGAAATTGGGCAGTTTTTTTTTACAAAAGTCCTAAACCGCAATAATAAATCCTGAATTCAACACATGTTCATAGCACTTTCTCCGACCGCACTCCGTCTCACATGGCGAGGCGATGAGATTTTCTCCTACTTTACAGCTCCATAGGGTAGTAGAGAGTATATTGTAGTGAGCTATTTATTATAGTGCCACTTTCCAGCCTTGTACCACTACCGCTTGAAGGATACGTTAAGAGACATGAGTTGCTGGACAATGTGGGAATTACTTTATCACACGACGTGGGTAATATGGAAATAGGATTATACACACTTCTTCCTTGTTTTTTTCTTATGCTCTACAAATAAGAAACGACCGGAAATGGGAGAAAGTAGACAAAGTCAAACATTCCTCTGCTCCCATTGAATTTAAAGCTCTCGCAACCAACGGACGACCCAAAGTAACAAATTTCATCACATTCACATCGAAATCTCTTAAGTATGTCGGGCCACCGAAACCTGACTGTCTGACATTCCCCTGCCGCACCTTCTCACCTTTCATCTTTGTTCTCTCTCTCTCTCTCTCTCGGGTGCATGAGGGGAACAACCAGTGCAAAACGAAGTCATCCATCTCGAGTGTTATCTCCACTTATTTCGACAATTTACGCGGACATCTTGTCTCTTCGTCGACATCGTCTAACGTACATACATAGGAACGGGAGGAACGTATTTATATATCTGTACTTGCAACTCCTTCAACCTCCTCCCATTCCATCATTCGCTTTTCTCTTATCAATCAATCTTTTTCACGTCCTACGTAATAATATACTGCAGTCTCAGCTCCTCGCACTCCAAATCTGAAGACAAGCCAAGTAGTCCCACCACTAGAGATTTCAGCCACCAACCAACTTTCTTCCTCTCCTCCTTCCTCACGACCTTCGTTATGTGTCCCAGTTTCGGCAAGGGAGATTGGGACATTTCGCTACACACAGTGTCTGTCTCATGGATGGGTGCTAAACTAAACTGCATGTGTCCGGGTAAGATAAAAACCAGTTTAAATTGGAATATTGCACAATTTATGCAGTACTGCCACCACCTTCGTCAATAACACGTTTCTTCTTTCTTTTAATTAGCAGAGCTTCGGCTCATATCATGTCCACGGACCGTGGTCTCCTTTTTGTAAATAAATTACGTGGGTGACACCGTCCTCGTTGGAGGTAGGACAGAGGAACCTTTTGTTGAGCCAATTCATCTTCATTTTCTCTCCTTCCTCCTCACGTCTCTCTCTCTCTCAGACAATACAGGCTAAACTCTACCCCAATAAAATAACAGGGCCAACTCCTCGCTGTGTCAGCAAAGAGTGTTGGGTACACGTCCTATTTTCAAATTCGTACCCCTTGCCACTCCACTAATGAATCCCACTAATAAAAACGGGGACAGAGGAGGAAGACGCACGACGTGTCGATTACACATTACACGCAGATCTATGATGTACGTTTGGATTGATCTGATCAAGGATGCAAACCATGTTCGTCTAGCACTTCAATCCACAATCTTCTTCTCCGTCCCGGTAAATGAAAGGAAACGCTTAGCAGGCAGAGTCCGACTCTGACTAAACCTAAGCTGCACCAGTGAAGACGAAGGATCAAGCCGACTGAACTTCTGCTGTCTGTCCCATTATTTGTTAGCCGGCTTTCTCCTCAGCCTTTGTTCTAAATGGATTTAGCGACACTCCAAAGGACACGGATAAATGGCCCAGAGATGCAAGACAGACTGCTTAATTACTCCCTTGGTGAATCCCCGCCCAAGATGAAGAGTGAACCTGAACGATAAAGCGAGCTGCCTTTCACTCCGGAACATTTTGTACAAGTTTGAGGGGGAAGAGAGGTCAAATGTGAGTTCCTGGATGGAGGCATCAATTTCAATCCTGAACCAATCCATCCATTCAGTTATTATAACTAACCGTCGTAGAAGTAGCAGGAGGAGTACCATGCAAGTACATGCAATGAAAGTTCTCATCACCGTACTCCACATACATATGTACATTTACCATATGCCATGTGTATTTACACACCCATGCATGAACCTGCTTACGTATTTGTACTGCATGGTTTCAACTTTCCTTTTCCGAGGAGGAAAGTTGAAACGTGTGTCATCACACGAAAAGTTAAGTTTCCTAGCCAAACGTAATCCGCCGGCACTATATTTAGTTTCCAGTACGACTCTTAATTTCTAACTACTTAATTAATTCCATCGGGGAGGACTGGACTAATGAATTATATGGTACTGACAATAGCTCAGTAGGAAGTTGGGGTTGGATACATATGAAGGAGAAGCGAGGAATTGAATAGAAATAGAAAGTTTTCGGGTAAAGTAGTAAATAGCAAGTAGAAATTGTGTGCAACTTACGCCTTGGGGCCCTCGTTCTTCCAGATTTGTGCTGCACAGTCCAGAGTGTTCTTATACTTGGCAGCTTCCAAACCCTGCAATTTTCATAATGAGAATGAAAGATCAATATCCGAAGAAAAGCAGGTGGAGAGAAATTGCAGAGAAACATGAATTGCACTGCCGTAAAAGAAAGTTAATTGAGCTCTGTGCAGATAATGGTTGGTCAATTTTTTTAGCTTTCCAACGCTTGACTTGACTACTTGTGAGTAAATTCATACGTAAATAGTATGAAATATTGCGTACTATTAAGTAAGCAATTAATGATTCGTCCGAGTTGACTTGCCATCTTTACTCCTTCACTTCCAATAGATTTCAATCAATTATTATTTTGTGACAAAGTGAGCTACGTTTTTGGGAACACATTCTAAACAACCTCTCATTATGAGAAAATGTGACCTCAAATCTATAAACCTCAATAATACTGAAAAACAGTGATTGCAAAAATAACCATTTCAACCCTACTGCATATAATATACATGTAAAGCAGATATTCCTTATATACTGGTTGAAAAAACTGTTATGTTGGCTCGGAACGCAATAAAATGTAATGGACACGTTTCTTCTACTCCGTCTTCGGCATGTATACATTATTGAATGTTTATCACTGCTTTTCATCATCGTAAAGCTCACTCACTCACTCACTCGCTCACTTTACTTACTCTGCGCATAAATCTATTTGCTTTTTTCCGGAATAAAAACTTTCCTCCATTTCCTCCATATCATACCACCACATACACAGCACCGGTACTTATGGTTCTTTCCTTCCTACCTTTAAAATCAATACTTTACAACTTATTCTTGAAGAGAGCATATCTTCCGGAAATGCTTCCTTCGTCTGTCCTTTCAAATTCCCTTTGAGTTACTCAGCCCTCTCAACTACACTTGATTCAATCTCTTCAACAACGCCACCATCCACTACCACCAGTAATGAAATGCCTCCTTCAACGGAGAGTCGAAGCCAATTTAGAAAATGAGAGCAGTTTGACTGATTTTTGTCCATATCGGACAGATAAAAGCTGGAGATGGATCGGCATCGATAGATACATGACGTTTCCGTCTTGCTGATTTACCTGCATCCTCGTCTTTATAACGTCAATTGGAGTATTTCCAAAGACGGAGGCGGCCCCTGCAAAAGCACCAAAGGCTCCGACGACTAATTTCGGTACAGGTGCTTTCGGATCCCCACCCCGATACCAGTCTTTCAAAGTTTCCATCACATAGAAACGGATTGCTTGATTACTTCCCTGTTTCATTATGGTGGCGGAAACACCTTTATAACATCCTCCGATACCTAAAAGCAAGCAAAAGTCAACACCACATTACTCAGAAGAGAAGGATGGATGCTATCTATTTATAATGTGCAAAAGTAATGACCCTTTCCCAGTCCGAAATTCAATTCCTTTCTCAAAATCAGCTCTACCTGCACTACCACTTTCACCCACCCGTAATTGAATTTCAGCTAGAAAAGGGTCTACTGATACAATTTTTATCTTGCTGATGTACCCTCGGAACGAATGATTTCACGAACTCCATGGAAAAATCCTTTGAATTTGGGCTTTTCAGATCGCTGATCGTTGATAAATTTTACTTTGATGGTTTCCATCGGTGTTACGGCGAAAATTGCTTCAGCTACTCCAGCCCCGAGACCGCAAAGGAGTCGTTGGCCTGGTCCCAAGTTTCCTTTGGAATCCACACTGTATTTTTTTAGCTCCTCGAATGCACCAAATCTGCACAAAAAGTGAAATATACACAGCTCATAACTTTGCTTCAACTTAAATATCTCAATAATTCCGCTCACTTTTCACAGTATTGAATATTCCGTAAAAGATATTTAAAATCAATCAAATTTTATATTTTTGTAGGATGAAGGAATCAGCACGAAAATCATGAATTGTGAAATTGGAGAGAAACTTATAAAACTATATTGACATGACCCCATAAAAATAAAAGGATATTCTGCTACAAAAACAATTGGATTTTACAAGTAATTTGATTTGGCCTTTACAGTGATTCAATCAACAATCCGAACTACATAATATGAACATAATTTCAAAGGTGAACGGAAATAGTGCTGACAAATTCGATTACACAGTATTCTGCACATGGTATCAATTGATTGAAATGTATTATTCTGTCTGGTCCCACCTGACTGCCGATTTTGGAATGGACCCATACAAGAGGACACTAAGTCCTCGATAAAGTCCAAAAAATCCATTACTTTTCACCGTCTTCTTCACACAGTCCACAATCCCGGTGTACTTCTTGGCTGCCCCCTTCTCATCCAGCTGCAACTGCGTTTTGACGTATTCGGTTGGAAATGTTATACAGATTTCGATTCCTCCCGTAATTCCGCCCGCAACGATTCCCTTCAGACCCATGCTTGCTCCTCCCCCTGCCGCAGCCGCAGCACCGTTCTTCTTCATCCAGGGCCGGTGGGTGTACGGACTCCCGAGGCGATCCATGATAATTTATGACAATATTAAATCCTCCCTCTTAATCGAGATCAATTCACGGAGCCCTGAAATTCAGACAAGACAGAAAAGGGTCAGTATTGCGAATGAAAATTTATTCACCGCTGTTTAGATTTGCATGCAAGTTTCTATGGAATCTAACTGACATCAACTAACGAACCCATACTACACCCTGTGATTATCTGCACCACATTTCCAACATCTTTACTCATTGAACCCGAAACAAATTTTTACAAACCGTTACGCTAGCATTAAATAAATACACTCTCAATTTGACATTACCAACTAATAAGCTTACGTTGTCTTACCCACCCAAAAATCGAAACTGCCCACACGCCCACAGGAAGAACGACCAGGTAAGAAATCCTTGCCAAGTTGACGGAATTTCTTGGACGACTTTTTTAGCTGAACTGCACGCTGAACCTTTTGTGCCGATGATGACGATGATGATTGATTGACTGGCTGGTCTTATTCCTAAAAGTAAATGGAAAAAAAGTTACGTAACATCACACCACGTACAAAACCAAATCCTCTCCGGCTGATAGCAAGGCAGCTGCAATAATTTAACTCTAGTATAACTTAATACCACTATAATAATAACTAGAATATCATGCAGAGAACGAAACCACTATGTAAACCAACCTGTCTATCTTCGTGCGTGAAGAGTGCTCTGTTGCTGCTCTCGTGCTAGTCGATGATGGCCTTGTCCTTGTCCTCGTGAGCCAACCAACTAACTAAACTTATGGATGGTTCAATTCGACTGGATATATGGAATGGAAAACTAGTTAGTCTTCTTTTTCTTCACGCTTTATGACTGCTATATGACGTGATGATAATAATATAACAGATGGATCACGCCGGCTTATGGCTCAGTTTTGCATACAGTGTTACGCTCGTGGATGATATATTTAGTCGGATAAGTTAACTAATGTCCTACTTTGCGTCACGACAAGTGAGATTTCGACGACGACGGGATGATGATGATGATATTTTTGTGCAGTGCGATGGGTTGGTCGAAGAAGGACAATAAATCTGAAATTTTTGAGCTGGGCCGGTCCACCTTGTTTTCACCCAGTGCTTTCTATGTCACTCTCACTTTCTCCACTCTCACTTTCTCCACTTTTTGGTGGAACGAAAGTTGGTTGCAAGCCTAGTGTTTTGGAGGTGTCTCGGTTTTTCATGAGGATTACAAATGTGGGTCATTTGAGACTTTGTGACAAAGAGTGTGCTTCAGTTAGTTTACTCGTTCACGGAGAGTTTGTTGGTTTATTTTAGTCACTAGTTCCTTGGTTAGAGAGTTGATGGAAAGAGAAGTTGAGACGACTGTGGGTTGACAAACGAGACCTTGGTTCATAGCAATATGTATCTTTAATATTTTTTTCTTTATTTTACCACTCATGTTATGTTTTCATACGCATGTTTCACACATATCTGCTGAATAGCAAAAAAAGGTACAACTTAGTGGATCACAATGCGAGAATTTTAGAATTAATGTGAATTTATTTGAGGTATTTAAAGATAATCGAGATTTCACAAATAATGATACTAATGGGGAGATTCTAGATAAATTGAATGAATGCATATATAATTTGTGTTGGAAGTAACTTTAGTATTTAAAAGTGACGATAAAGTATTGCTTGACAGCGGCTTAAATGTTTTTACTTAATATTGCTATCCAATAAAATAATTTATTTTGTATGTAATAGTAGTAAATCTTAAATTCTATACGTAAAATGACCACAGCAAAAAAAAGAATCAAATTAATGACTAGTACTGTAAAATTAAATTATACACGCATGTATAAACCTTTTGACTTAGTTTTTCTTCTAACACTGTAACAAATATATTTTAGTATTTGCGTAAAAATCAGCACCACATAAATCAAATATCGACTATCTGCAGTCTATCACTAAATACTTATGACTACATAAACATATTGACTGTAGGCAGGGGGAACACAACTGGATTCTGAGATTCTAAAATGATGTGTCTTCATTCGTTTGTTACCACCCAGGCGTAGAATTGACTAAACGTCTCATTCTTCTACAAATGTAAAAGTTACAGTAAATATCTTCAAGATTAATTATCGTTTATCGTATCGTACCTCGTGTTTCTGTCTTGGTCACGAATTTTCTTCTCCATCTCGGCGTCTTGATTAAACAATCAGATAAACAAGATGAGCATTTTGATAATCAGGTATTTTCAAATGAATATAATCAGTGGGTCAGAGGCTAGTAGTATTAATTTTCTAATTATCGTGGGACTAGTGAGTTACCTGTGAGCGTTTCCAGAAATGGTGCCCACGAATCGGAATCGCCGTGTTGCCGAAACGGGGTTTCAACAGTTTGCAGTGGAGCTTCACTGAAAGCATAAGTCCTCTGATGCCACGACAGTTGACCTCGTATTGAATATGAAATTGCTGTCACAAACTCCCCTCCCAATCCCAGTTCGGCGCAGAGGCGGTTAGCGAACTGTTCTGGACTATTTTCTTTTTCCCCCATGTCCCACTCAATCTGGTCATTGAGGGAGGTGTTACCAACATGAATGTTGAGCTACAACACAATGAAATATCCATGCATATTCCAGTATTTCTTTTTATATTGGATGTTGGGACCGGTGAAAATAAATTTAAAGTATTGACACCTTAATAATGACCCTTTGATCGCTCTGGTCTTCCAACAAATTGTCTGTTGGGAAAGCATAAGCATCCACTTGTTGACGGATAGATTGTGAAATGGCTGGAATGAACATGGTAGGATTTATATCCAAATCGTCACAAAGAACTTCGGCAAATTGTTCAGGTGTGACCAGCATTTCTGCAATATGACTAAATAAGGATATTTTTAGTCCTTTAACATACACGTAGCATCGACAAACCGTTCTTATTCCATGTGAACGTATCCCTCAATTTTTGCCCTTCAATCTCCATATCTAGACGAATAGGAACCAATATTTCTGGCTGTTGCGCATTTTCTGATATTGAGTAGGGGTCCGTGTCGTCAAAGCACATCGGAAACGTTCTGACTTTCTTTGAACTGACTTGAGATCTGCTAATCTGTGTCGCTTGTGGTACAGCGTCGAGATGAGAGCTGTTCGGCAATGATGGGACCCATTGTGTTGGTTTCTTTTGCTTCGCATCTCTGAATATAAGTAACAAAGTAATGGTTAATACGGGTCCCGAGTCATTTTTTTATTTAAGACAAAATGTCGATGATCAAACCGTAATGCAGGCTGTTCTACAGCAGAGACCGAAATAGCCTTGTACATTTCGTCATTTCCGTCCAGAATATCGCTCACTTCACAAGCTCTGATAAGCGATATGCTCGACGCTATGCAATGTTGACTCAATCCTAAAGAATTAGATGCTTATAGTTAATTTTACATTATCATTATCTTATCGGACAAAACACCAACCCAGTTCTGTCAATTTCTTCCTCTCATCGCCAGTAACCAGTCGGCGACTAAGTCCGGGATATTTTTTGTAAAGTGCTCCACGAAAGAGGCGAAGATAATTTCCGACCTGGCCATTTCGTACAATTAGAAAATGTCAGTAATTTGTATATTGTTTAAAAACAACAAATAATTATCCAATGAAAGTTTCATTATGAAACGAATAAGTAAATTTATGAACTGGTATTTAATACCTCAGAACCAATGCAATAATGGTCCCCACCATCTTCCAACTGAAAACTGACAGGTTTGTTACCATACGTTCTTATCGACATGGTTTGTCAGTTTGCAATTCCGATAAACTCCTATCAGTCACATCACAATCTGCAGCTGCTACTGGGAAGAAACTTTGGTGCACACCTCTGGTTTAAACTGTGAACTCTCACATCTCCCATGTCTTCATCTCAAAAACTTATGTATGCAACTTCATGTTTGGCTTATGTTTCCATAACTTATCCATTAACTTATTAGCTAAAGTGATCTTTAAAAAATGCTTTTACCCTTTCAATTTCTGCCTTAATGAATTTATTGAAATACCTAATTTTCAAGTCAGAGGATGTTCCAAAATAATTGTCCGCTTTGATTGTCGGACAATCATTGTCCTTTTGGTTTAGTAAATTGACCTCGCGAAAAACACCGTCACTTTGTTTAACGTTAAATTTATTCGTTTATCATCCTCCATTAATATACAAATCATATTATACCGTCTATTCATAAGCACACTTGTTGGTTATACATATACCTTTACATACATACATACGATTTCACAAATTAATTACAAGTGGTCATTATATTTGGCATGCAGTGAGCCTGATGATTTTTCCTATCCGTGGAGAAGGACGTTATCATCATTTACTATGGCTGGCTAGTGTTATTGGTCGGGATATTTTTTGGAAAATATTTACAACTAGATACATAGAAAATAATATGTGTAGATGACGATACCATAGCATTTGAGACGAGTGAGACTTCATGGCTTTCTAAAATTGGAATGCAATCAATGAATATTTTAAAGGAAAACATATAGCTTAATGTTTATAATGGTACTAACGACAATAGTTTTGTAATCACTGCCCCTGGCGACGTGGACAAACTGATTGAAAAAGTATGACAAGGGAATGTTGAACAAATTGAGGGCATACTGACGGAAAAATCCTACAGATTTTAGTGAGTAGACTTCACAATCTAAAGAAGACAAGAGAAACAATAAGCACATTGAAAGTCCAAACTTTGGTTTAGTTGATAAGAAGACACTACTACTAACTAACTAATAATCTAAAGTATATAACTAACCATTTGGCAGCAAGTTCCTCTCGACCAAGTCTTGTGCAGCATTATGGACGGAAATGTGGTTCAAGTGACCCGATACACCGCTTCGGTCAAATGTAATCAGCTACCATAATATAAACATACATAGTAATCCTTGTTAACCATCATCCTATAACTCAGATTAATAGTGTCAAGTAGTTACCGTGTCTATTCCATATGAATTCAGAAAACTTCTAATATGTGCAGAGAGGGGTAGAATTGGCCATCGATTCGTCATCCCATCCTTCAAATGGTCATGTTTAATGATAGTCACGTTCTCATCCGGCACGCCCAAAACTCTGCAACTCTTCCAAAGCTCGGACTTCCTGGTAAGACCTTGTCCTTCAGAATCACCTAAAAAATACAAATTACAGTTGTCCGTCTCAAACTTGCACAAGTTTAAAATGCAAATTTCTCTCTCACCATATGAAAAGCAGAGGATGTACACGCTGTGACCGTCCCTTAACAGGTTGAGTATCGTCGGCCCAAAGAACATGACTTCATCATCGGGATGCGCGATGGCCAGTAGGACACGACACTTTTTTGTCGTCGTCGTCACCCTTCGCTTCGAACAGACACCCTTCCACCCCCACAAACCTGGGCTGCTTCTCTTCCCCCACGTGAGGAAAGTGACCGTGTAAATGATGGAGTAAATGAGGATGAGCAGGGTTACGAGGATCAGGCCGCAGATTTGCGCCACCCCTCCACCACTGATATGTTTGTCGAAAAAAACGTCAACAAGAGGCCACCCCCACTGCTGCCCCATGTTTGCCTCCCTAACCAAGATCAGCGGAGGATGCTAACTGCCCCTCCAACTGATACAATTAAAAAACAAAAACCTAAAACCAACTCAAAAGGTAAAAATGATTAGTTTTTGAGCAGCAAGTCGACTCGCGGGAGGAGTACAAGGCTACCCCGATCGTACCTGTGTGCATGAAATGCTGATCGATTTCTTCATCTCAGATGCATAATGCCAACTTTTTGAAAATAATAATGGTTATAATTTAATGCATTTCATCAATTTCCATTTTATTACTTTATTGCAACGACGCCGCCACTTACTTGCAAGTTACAAGGTGTAGTAGTACTGTAGTATTTGCTTTTATTATCATAATACTAATAATATAATAATAATAGTAATTAAAATTGTTACTTATGTACTTAACAGAGATGAATATTCTTATTTTCAGCATTTGAATCTTCTTTGATGGACAGACTAATTTAACAATCAAGACTCGTATTTAACGTTGCTTATTATGTGTGACAATGCTTTTTTATACATTTTCCTGATCAATTGGTTGGAATTTGAAGAGTAAAAATACATTACCACCAAGTGAAAACACATTGTCAACAAAAAAATTCATAGGATAATTCATACATATATATATACGTATATATACCCAAAAAACTATAAAAGGTAAAGTCAATCAAAAGTACAAGTAAGTAATTAATTAATAATTGTTATATCTAGTTTCTGAAACAATAAGAGATGAATGATCTTACGGACCATGAAAAACAAATCCTGAAATAACTCAAGTCAGAAATAATAAGTTACATTTTTCATACGATTGTTACATATATAATAGACTCTCTCTCTCTCTCTAAAAAATGTAATGTAACGTTGACCATCTAAACAGTAAAAAGTGAGGAAGTGGGGGTAGATGAACCATTGTTGAGAGAATCGGCGTGGGCATGCTGTTGTTGGAGGTGGTACTCCGTGTTTCTATTTTTCATAGCTTTGTTTTGTTTCCTCTTCTCCTTACAGTCTGAGCAGTACCACTTCCCTTTCGGGGGAATCATGATTCCGACGCATTCAAAATGGAACCATTGGAACTCGCAGTCCTTGGAATCACATCCAATCATTTGGGACACATTGTCGTGTGGGGATTGACAAAAACAGTAGAGTTGTTCCTCCCCTACTCTCGTGGTCGTGGTGATTCCAGAAGATTCCATCATGGTATCCATGAGAGGTTGTTTTGGGGGGAGTATGTTGATATGAATCCCACCCACTGATTTCCTCCCACCGCCACGACCCGTTCCAATCTTCATCTTGGGTCGACGAACTGGAATTTGGGGAGAGGCACTGGATTCTTCGGGTATATTCTGCTGCATGTATTGGGGAAGATGATTATAGTGGTTCGACGCCGCAAGAGGGGATGGATATTGGCCGGTCATCATCATCGCCATGGTCGGGTTGTATGATTGGAGGGCGTTGCCGTTGTTATTCGTATTTAGTCGATTTCGCCCCAGAACGACGGGAGTTGACTTGTGTCCGTGGTGGTACATGGATGGTGGTTGTAGTTTGGTGCGCACAATAGGCGATTGGAGAGGACTGAGACAAACGAAAGGGTTCTTTTTAAGAATCTGATCCTTAGTTTCCAGTGTTGCTTGTGAGGCTGGCGTCGGGGGTGGGGCGATGATTGGGAAGGTCGCTATGTTTCTCTTGAAAATTAAGGGTTTAATGGGTACGTTTCTCACTTTCAAGCGAGACTCTGCATTCCCCGTCTGCTTCACCGTATACGTGGGAGGATTATGGATGAACTGTTGCAAGCTATAGTGCTGAGATTGGGAGGCACTCTGATAAGAAGAAGCATTGTTGCTGTGATGGTGCTTTAGTTTAATAGTCATCTTGGGCTGGAGTGGCGCGGGCCTCAATTCTTCCAGCTCCTTCACTCCTCGGACAAACTTGAGGAGATACTGCTCATTGGACATGGTCCAAATTTCATCAAACGTAGGCACCTTTCCAATCATTTCACTCAGTTGTTTCTTATCATAGAGCTCCTCTGAGCCAGAATCCTCCGTTTCGAGGTCCGTTTCAAGGAGGAAATTTTCCTCAGGAAATACTGGATTTTGTTGGTCGTCGTCATTCATATCGTTCTCCTTTTCTTGATACGCAGATGATGATTTTCGGCTAAATTTTCCCTTCTGCTTTCGATACTTTCTCCTTACTGGAGATCCATCGGGGTTTGTGGGACGGGGAGGCTTGGGAACGATGATTCTCCCAATGCGTTTACCAGCACCGCCAGTCGACTTCTTCTTTGCAGTGGGAATTCCGTCCTTGTTTCTATTCAGAGAACCCTTTGGCCTTCCCCGTCCTCGTTTTATCGGAGTCCCATCCGCTGATAGTAGTTGTTGCTGTTGCGGACTGGAGTAATTTTTCCGAGGATAGATTGGTATTTTCAGGGTTTGATTGAATCGTCGGCCAGCATTGTTATTCGCTGCAGTCGATTCATCATCAGATGAAGAATTTCCACTCGATGATGAGGAACTTGAAGAGGAACTGGAACAAGAACAATTACTTCCGCAACTCGAGCTCGATGAGGATGAACTGCTGTGGTGACGCTTACGAGGAGACTTGTTCAAACCTTTCAACTTTTTGTGTTTCGATTCACCCTTCTTCCCTGATCGAGAGCAGGAGGACGAGGTGGCGAGAGAAGGGATGGTTGTGGGCGAGTTGTTGGGCTCCCGTTTTACATTGACTCTCAAACAATAATCGTGCTCATTCAGGAGAGAAAAGATGGCATTCTCTCGGATAATATGTTCGGGGAGGGAGTTGTCTTCGAATGTCGGAATGTCTGGAACGGCAAAGTTGAAATCATCCAGTGGGGCAAGAAGAGGAGACATGGAGCCAAAATTCTCATCGTCGTCATCATCAGAGAGGCCAGATTCTTCCTCAGACAAATTAGGACCCTGGATCTCTTCAAGATTGAATGGTTCCGTCTGTTGTTGTTTCTCTTCTACTTCTTCTTCGTCCAGCATTGTCTCGGGGGTGGTCCTTCCTTTCTGTTCGTCATTAGACTTTCGTAATGGGGTTTCAATTGTAGAGTTTGGCGGTGTTGGCCAGTCTACAACAGATGTGAGATGAAGCAGAGGAGTTAAACAGCCTGCAGCCTCCGAGGGTGGCAATTCTGACGATGGTGGAAATTCTGATGGTGCCAATTCTGACGATGGTGGAAATTCTGATGGTGCCAATTCTGACGATGGTGGAAATTCTGATGGTGCCAATTCTGACGATGGTGGAAATTCTGAAGGTGCCAAGTCTGACGAAGTTGGCAGTTCTGACGATGGTGCCAATTCTGACGAAGGTGCCAGTTCTGATGGTGGTAATTCTGATGATAATGGGAATTCTGACGGTGGAAATTCTGATGATGGTGGCAATTCTGACGATGGTGCCAGTTCTGATGGTGGCAATTCTGACGATGGTGCCAGTTCTGATGGTGGCAATTCTGATGGTGGTGGAAATTCTGATGGTGGTTGTAGTTCACTATTTGAAATTTGCATTGTTGTAGCCTCTTCTTCTTCCTTCTCCCTTTTTCCTATCACTTTTATGTCTTTGTCAGCATCTTCGTCATGCTCCATCTCCATCGCTGTCATCGAGTGGTCAACAGTGTCGACACCACCAGCAGGCACTGCTGGGGACTCAGCTTCTTCTGTCGCCACTGCTACCTTGATGCCTTCTTCAAGTTCCCTCTTACTATGACTCCCTTGGATATGCTTTTCCAACAACTTTTTAGAAATAAAAGTTTCCCCGCAATTCACAACGGTACACTTTCTCAATTTTTCCCCCGTGTGCAGCCTCCGATGGACGACGAGGCACTTTGCCTTGGTGAAGTAGAAACCACACGTCTCGCACGTGTAGACTTGGGGTGGAACGCAAAAATGGTAAATGTGTGGCCATTTCTTCTTTAAGCAAACGGAACACTCCTTGCTTTCACTTCCATGCTTCCAAAACAGGTGAGTCATAAAGTTGGGTTTTGCACAGTATGTGACGCCACATTTCCAGCAGAAGTGGTTCAACTTGTGCTTCTTCATGTGGTGCTCCAATTCTTTCTGGCTTTTCAACTCCTCGAGACAAAGCTCACACCGGTTATGTTCCTTCCTCAAATGGACCATGTAGTTGAAGAAGCCGGGGAGTTGGACATTTTCGCAAATGCTACACTGGTATCGGAGCACGATCGTGTCGGCGGAACCGTCATCGTCCTTGGCATCCAACACGGTGAATTCGTTACCCCCCAGGCCGTGTGCAGCCGCGTCGGGGAGATTGATAAATGGAGGATGCTTTCCGCCGGACGTGTGAGACAAAGATTTGGGGTCGACTTCATTCTTAATAATTGGATTAGGTGTGCCGAAGCAGAGATGCGAGTAGAGTGCCCCGGCAAAGAGGAATCGACCCTGACACATGGCGCACTTCATGGCCACTCCGCGATGAATCTTTCCCCAGTGGGGAAATAGATTTTGTTGGGATTCGACAAAGTATCCGCAGAGGAGACATTCGCACGGGATTTGGCCAAATGGGGGCATGGCTGAGTCCTTGTAGGAAAAGAGAACGGAGGGGGACAGGAATACTTTTTTGAGGACGGTTTGTCGAAACTCGACGCAGTCTAATTTTACAAACGAGGTCGGAGAATGCAAAATATTGACTTGGGTATTGGCATTGTCTCCTTCAGTAAGTGGTGGTGATAATGCGATGAGTGGAGTTGGAGTAAAATCAGTGGTGTCCATTGGTTCAGTCAATAGCAGCTCTTCATCCTTCATTAACAAATATTTAACAAATTAATTCGTTTAACTTCTTGCTTTTGTTGACGACTGGAAATTTTGATAATGAATAATGATAGTTATTTAATAAAACATACCTTGGATTGTGATAGGTCATCATCTCCTTTTCCTATTGGTAAGGACAACGAAGCAGAAGAAGAAGAGGAAGAAGCGATGGTAGTATTGACCTCGTCTTCGTCCACATCCATCTTTTCGCCGAGTAATAGTTCTTTGCGATCTTCCTCTTCTTCGTTTCGTTGTTGTTGCTCGACTGAGGAATTCATCGAAAAGCTTACACTGTCAACTTGATCAGGTTTATCAGGGTCCGGCAATGAGGCCGCAAGAGCTGGGTCTGCTGTTTTAGTAAGAGTAGGACTTGATGGTGATGGTAAATCTGTGGAGCCTAGAACAGCTCCCTCCACTTTTTCGTTTGGATTTGGCACAGAACTACTGCCTCCAGTTTCCTCGGCTGTTAGGGGAGAATTATTATTCCTACTATCACTTGAAGAAATTGGGTCGGGACAAATCACATGTAATTTTTCCTTTGTCTCCTTTTCCTCTGTAACTTCCAGAGGTTCTCGTTTCACAACGGCCACTCCTTGTTCCACTACTGAATCACTGTTATCAATACTAAGACTCGATTCCTCTGCGGTGGAGATAACTTTGACTGACCACAAATGCTTGGAAAAAAGATGAATCGCCAATTGCCTTTTGTCAATCCGAATTAATTTGACTTGTCTACAGTACGTGCAATTGATTACGGTCTTTTTTAACATTTGATTCAGAATATCCTCATCCATCTTATCCTCTAAGGGGTGACTGACTACTAGTTCGTAGATGGAATCGTCTTCCTCTTGTGTTGTGTAGCCGGGACAATCGGGACCAGGCCATTCATTTGAAAGTTTATCGCATAATTCTTGTATCAACATTATCAAGCGTTTTGAGGGGTCCACTTCCAAGAGGAGAGGATCCAATTTGACGTCTTCCACTTCTGGTTCTTCATCGGGTTGCGATGAATCATCTTCATCTTGATCGTACGAGTTATTTTCTGAAAATAAACAGACAATCAAAGGCTCAATCAAAATGTAAACTTTTCATTTAAAATTTTATTAAACAATGATTATTTTAATGCATTTCTACAACTTACGGTTCGGTGTGTATGTCTTGTACCCATCTTCGAATTTAATCCTCAAATGTGGCAACTTTGGACTTTGTTGGTGTAGACTAGTCTGATTATTTTCCACCTTAATCAGCGACGAGGAGACGGACTGTGTCCTAAACTTTTTCATAGTCGTAGCAACTGGGGAGACCTCTTGAGCAGAAAAAGAACCATTTGGCAATGGGGTCGATCCCTGTCTCTGGTATGACCTTCGCTTGGCCACCGATTCAAAGATGAAGTCGTCATTCGTCACTTTTCTCAAAGTTCTTCGTGGCCTATCCACTCCACTAGTTGGGCTGATTTCTGTCGATGATGACATTAGGCTGACCGTTCTTCTCACCGATCCCCTACTACTGGGTGCCGTGGCCATGGAGGATGACATTTCTACCTTGACTTCAGAGTTTGATAGTATATCGCTGTAGTACGATCGTGGTTTCCTCCCCCGTTTCTTTGGTGTGACCAAATTTTCAAATTTGCTGCTGGAATGTTCCTCTGCAATAATGAGTCTGTCCTCTCCTTCCTCCTCCTCCTCGTCGACACCATGACCATTCATCATCAAACCATTAATAATTGTTCCACCATTAACTTTGGCATGACCCTCGTCATCGTCACCTTCTTGCCCATCTTCCTCCTCCTTGTCAACCAAAGTCACACTAACTTCCTCATCATCATTAAATGTTATCGTCTTTCTTGGGGCATTGATCTTGTCATGTCGGCTTTTCCCGACTCTACCACGTTCGTCATATTGTTTCATATCGCTGGGAAGAACATCTTCACAATTCATAAAGTTATTCCTCCTAGTAATTGTCCCACCACAACACTCATGTTCGTCCAGCATGACGTGTTGATTCTCCACACTACCGTCCAGCTCAAATATTGCTGAACAGTCCACACAACACAGCACCGTTTCCTGTCCTCCCGCCCGAAGGAAGTCGGGCTCATTATGAAATTTCTGTGGTGGAACCCTGTGCTCGCGGTAGAGGTGGACCATGAGCTCCTTGGGAAGGGCGTAATGGGTCGAGCAGCAGACACAAATGTAAATCTGATGCAATTCAACCCCATGACGAAACACTGTATCAAAATCCGACACGAAAGAACACGACGCGAACGAGCAATGAGCTTCGTAGCTGGACGAGGGCGACGAAGGAGGTGACGCCGCTTCCGTCAACGACGACTTTATCGAAACCACCCCCTTATTATTCGACTCTTGTGGCAGCGTTGTTGTTATCGCCAATTCTGGTTGTATTGAGGAGGGCAACGACGATGCTGATGATGATGAGGACACGACCTCATCCTGTTCCAGTGTCGTCTTCATATTTACTAGTAATGTTAATTCTTCTACAATATCTATATAACTACGTTTATCATTTATATGATATTAGTTAATAATTGCTGTATCCTAGTTTAAGTTATCTCTGTCTCTCCCACCAGCAAGTTCCAGCCAATCAGTCATGTTTGTCTTCCTCCACTCCGCTCTTCTTCTCCGTCTACTCAACCTGGTTGGAAAATACACAAAATTAAAGCAAGAGCATCATCAAAGTAACCATTTCTTTCATCCCTCCATCACAATTACGATTCTCTTTCTATTTCCCATTAATTTCGAAATTGAAAAAACTCCCCATCACATTACTATTTGGAGGAGAAGAAGAAAGGAACTGGCTCTGGCTGGCTATGCCTCTTATAACTACAACTTGCTGCTAAATAATATAGGATATATGGATTTTGGACTTACGTTTTGGTATTCTACTGCATCCTCCGTTCTGGTGGTGGCGGTGGTGGTGGAGTAGGTTCGTCCTGGCTGCTGCTGGAGTGAGACTGTGAGAGCGATGGAGCCGCGGTGGAGTTGGCAGGAGGACTGATGCACACAAAGTACGTGAGCTGAGTGAGCAAACCTAACGTGGCTTTTTCCTTGGAGGGAGACCACGACGACGACGCTCCATGCAACCAGCCGAACCCATGCATGGATCTTCGCTCCTCTTGCTCAAGGCTGCCCGTCCTCCCACGCCATCTGATGGGCGCAGGCTGAGGCCGACTTGGGACGCGGTAGGAGCCGAGGATGCACGAGGGGGAGCTCACGAGGGCTGAGGCGAGGTCGGGTGAGACGCTGGGAGAACCAGTCGGGGGTTTTTGTTAGATAAAAGGCGAGAAAAGTGAGACTTAGTTAATTTAGATGAGATTTTACAAGATTTTGATGGGTTAGTGGGATAATAAAATGTAATTTGTAAACGTGTTGGATCATTCTTGATATTTGGTTTTGAAGAATAGAGAAAAGAATGGAGGAAATTGAGAAATGTGGCCGAAAAGTAAGTATGAAAAGCATTGAACTAACCTGTGAGGGCTGTATGTCTCCCTTGTATCCAGTAAATTAGTAAGGCTTTCCGGTTATCAGCAGAAATAAATCTTGGCCAATCCGCCGATCCCGATCTTTACTTATGGATGGACATGACAAATAAAACCCCCCGCGCCATTATGCATGCCGTGCACCACCACCACGGCGTTGTTGCTGCTACGTCCATGATTTTAGTCAAATTCGTATTAATTGTTTATGTGTTTTGTTTAACTTGATATGACATTCATTCATTTCTTTTCGGGGAAGTGAATTGCGTCCCCAGTTCGTATGCATTGAAAAAGACGTGAGTTGAGTTATTTAACTCAGCATAAGTTTTAACACGGACGATTCATCTGTGGAAAATTTATGTAATTTGATATTGTTTTAACTTGCTGATATTTGACTCCATTAGCCTCATTCCAAAGTCTCCAATTAATGACTGTCTAAGAATTTGGACGTAATGTTTCGCATGGTTCAGCATGTTACACACAAAATTGTAAATTTCTCTGTTTGATTTAGTAATAGAAAGATCTATGGTTTAATAAGGAGATGCATACTACCAAATTTCCAGTCCCTCTGCTTTATTCAATATTATTATTATAATTTTTAACAATCTCATTGAACGTATTAATGAAAAATTATTTATCAAATTAAATTATATAACCAACTAGCAAGCATTAGGGTCGTAAAAGGGTTTAAATTAAGAAGAGGGTGAAAATTGTACATAGAATTCGAGAACCACATTTAATAAAATAATTCTTATTGCTCCTCTTGCTTAATAAAAACAAAACAATCTTTTAGGGAAAAAACTGCAGTGTAAAAACACTTTTGCCACACCTCACATTTTAATATGAATATGAGCACGATGAAAAAGTAGTTCTTTAGTTTGATAGCTCCAACTTTGGCCTTTTATTATTTGATGCTCCGGATCCAGAATTTGAATTATTTGCTAGAGATGAAGCTTCACAACTTTGAGAGTCTTCACTAACGACGGTGTAACCACCACCGGAAAATTCCACCGCACCCTGAGATTCACTTGTGATTGAGAAGCCTGTACATTACAAAGTGAAAAGTTATAGTCATGCTTTAAAACAAACATTACAAGTATGTTTAAAACTGTACTGGTATTCGAGTCTTCATTGAATACGGCATTAGAAGGTGGATTATTTTCAGTTGTCAGTGGCCTTTTCACTCCGTTGCTCTGTTCTTTCTTCTTTTTCTAAATACAAAAAATTCGCCAAGTTTAGTAATAGAGTTGACATAAATAACTGCATAAATGATTGGAAAAACGTACATCAACGGCAACGACAGGCACCCATTTGTAAATTCTCATCGTCGTATCGCCCAATGTGACCCACTTTTTTTCCCTGTAAAGATTAGACAATTTTTTACATTGAATCTTCGTACAATAACGGATTTCGTTGAACAAGAACGAAATTACTATGCATACATGTTATGAACTTACCAATGCCTAACTTTATCGACGACTTGCATAACCCTCTTGATGTCATCTTTTGCCCGACTTCTCGTCTCCGCCCGAACAGACCGTGACATTTTCAACTTTGGAAAGTATACAATGCCGACGAGAGATTAGAATTCCTTCTCAACTATCTTGCCATTCATTACCTATAGTGCAAAATATCCTAGTATTATTGACAGTGGTATGTACTAGTAATTTACGAACACTCTATACAATCAGCACGAGCAGGAATGCGAATTAAATCAATTCGCAAGGCTCGAAATTCCTATTTAATAAAGATTTAGGTGCAACCGGGGGCGATAAGGTGGGGATGGATTTGAAAAGCCCAAGTTTATAATTGTTTTGATTGACTATTACTTTTATTATTTGAATTATTGACAGTTGAGGAGCTCTGCTGCCCATCCGAGCTATCGACTGTCAACCACACTACTACCAGCCAGCCAAGCTCTCTACACCCTTCCCTCTCGTATGCATGCATGTACGTAAAGTCCATATAGAAATAACAATTTGAGTCCACATCATGGTTTCATTTTATGTTTTACAGAGCAATACTCCATGGCAATACTTTACTCTTTTTCTTACCACAAGAATGTTTTTTTACAACTAATCCTATTTTAGTTGTTTTATCAAAATATTATGAAGAAATGGGGGATTTGGTGTAATTAATATTTTGCATGCATGAATTTGAGATGCCATATGCAGAGAAAATCCTGTTCCAAAATTAGCAACACGATGTAATACATGTTTCGGTTTATTTTGTATTATATAACAATAATATTCAAATAGATACTTTACTTACTGGGTATACATACTAATCCTGTTTGTATTGTGGTGATAATACAAGTTAAGTAATTAGTTGTTGCACCTTGTTGTGACAAGCGGTTGACACTTGTTGGAAATGCATAGTCCATTATTATTAGTTAATAAGTCGGTTCACTTTTACTTCCTGTACTTATCCTTATTTCGATTTCAACTTGTCAGCCTTATCCTTGTTTACAGTTTGTAGAAGTAGCATATATAGAAAAAGATGCAAAGCACATATTATTATTGGATACTTATTCTGTCTCTCCGCTCATTATTTCTTCGTGGTGCAAAATGCAATTGCTAGATAATTCAAAATACACTTTTTCACGGTAAAACTACTACGTATTCCGTGGTAGCATTTAAGAATGTTACCAAAGTTGTAGATTATCTAAGCCTACACATAAATATAAGAGATTACAGCTCGAGTGCTTCTAATACGCTTGGCTTTATTAAAGCAAGAAAACAAATCACAAGTGATACTAGCAGAATTAACTTGAATTAAGGGGTATCTTACAACCTGACGGAAATTATTTGTCTGACTGAAGGAATCTCATACGCAAACCTAAATCTTAGACCAATCTGAAGCTTTGTATCGAAATAATGAGAGAATGAGATACAATGAGAATAATACTTGCATATATATTTTTAGAAAGACAGAAGAAGGATAAGGATAAGAGAGAAGCCTGAAATATCCCCCAGTAAATAACCGACACTGAACTATGTACGACGACTAAAAACTTTTTACTCTTTCTAACTTTTCAACACAAGGACTAATAAAATGCAAAATGCATGTAATACCACCACAAAATTACTATCTAAAGGCGGGTATATAAGTAGAAAAAAGCTCACTGTAGTATCTTCTTCAATAGGAAGAAAATGCATATTTTTGTATATCATTCGATTTGTATCTGATCTTTCTTATCCTTTTTTACTAGGCCAAGTACAACCGATGATAGTCATTCGTTCCAAAGGCAGCATTGCATTTGGGGCACTTTCTCTGTCTGGTTTCATATCGGGTGCGGAGACAGTCGAAACAGAAGACATGGAAGCATTTTATTAAAACAGCGTCCTTTCGCTTCACTTTGCAGGATGGACAGGTTAAAATTTCCTTATATTCGCGAACTTCCTCCATCATCACTTCGTCGGTGTTGCCACTCATTTCGATCTTGTTTAGTCGTTCGACGTTACGCTTGATGAGGGCTATTTTCTCTTGGAGACGTTTAGTCTTGTAGGCCTCGGCCTCAAGAGCAGAAGTCTTTTCGGTTACTGTGGATTGAGCTTCCTTCATTTGTGAGTGATATTTTTCTATGATAGAAATGGGAAGGTATAACAAATTAGTTAATTGTAAATAATCATGAACTATCTAACAAACGCGAGAAAATTGATTACAGGCCCAATATACGTTTAAACAAAGCACCATAAATAATTAATAAACAATACACTAAGAATAACAAAATAACAATAGGGAAAACTTTTGCCCTATATTCACCTGAGTGACTATGCACGATATACATATTGCCACATACAACTGAATTACGGTTACATAAGATTAATTACGCTGAAATATTTTATTTGTAAATAATTCTTGACCATTCAAATGACTATTGTTGACTTTTCAACATTATTCATGGCATGAGGAAGATATATACTGATAAGTTGCTAATAAGCCTTGTATCAACTTGTACTAACAAGTTTATACTTTTATAAAATTATAAAGTTTGAAAACTAGCCTTAATTTATACCATCAATTAATCAACCATCAATTAAATAGCTACTCACCTAAATGTAACTTCAGATCTGCAGCTGACTGGGCACTTTCAATGGCTTTTCGCTTATGCAACTCCATCGCTTGTTGTCGTATTCCGGCTTCTTGTTCCATCGATGCGATTGCGTTCAAAAGAATTCTTTCCTTTTCTTCCAACTTTCGGACAACATGATTCTGTGCGTCGACTTGTTTTGAAAGAGTTGCGGCCTGTAAAATCGCGTTAATCATTTAAATGTTTCATATATAGCTAGCATGAAAGTATTTTGGATATTCTTGCTACTAGTTTATGTTTACATGTTCTTGCAGCAATTCACGCTCTTCCATCGCCAATTTTTGAAATTGAGAAGCCTTCACACGATCTGACAATAGTTTAAAGTTTGCTTCATCCTTTTCCCTCAGTTGTTGAATAAGTCGTGCATTCTGTTCGTGCATGTCTTCAAAAGCTTGTCCAGTAACTTCCATTTCACTCACAAGAGCATCCTCCTCCGTCTTTTGACTGGTGATTTGACGCTGCAGAGCGTGCATCTGATCGTCCAAAGATTTAATCTTTCTCATAGCCTCCTCGTCAGCTAGGCGTCTCTTCTCGTCTTTTTTGCCGTCCTGAAGTTTTTTAATTGCACATTTGATATCCTCAACTTCCTGCTTAATTTTCTTCTCAGAAAAGAGAAGTTGGGCTTTATCCCGGGGATCTTTACTTGCACTCTTGTACATGTCTAGTATCAGTTTCATGTCCTTCTGGGCATTTAAGGCATTTCTAATCAAATAAATTGCATGCTTAGTTCGCAGTTATTATTTATTACATATGTTTCGCATTGCATTCAATGCATTGTACTCACTTTACTTGACTCTTGAGATCCTTTAGAATATCCGAGTTCATTTTGTGATTTACGTGATTTCTCATTTTCGCGTTGCGTTTTATATTTTCCTTCTTTCTCGCCGGTACTTCCCCATTCCCCTTTTCCGACTTTATATCAATATCCTACATTTGCACAAATAAAACATATCTTTACTATTTCTCCTTGATAGACAATAATAATATTTAGCAGGCACTAAACTACTCAACAACACTTACTTCCCCTGAACAATTTTCATCTGCAGAGTCAGTTCCACAGTTTGAGAAATGATTTCGACATTCATCGCCATCAGATGATTGTTGTGACGTGTCATCGTCATCTCGGTCTCCATCAATATCACAATTTCGGACAAAGGATTTTTCAATTTCTCGAATTTTCCCTTCAAGTTCCTCGCGTTGTTTCTTTAGCTTTATATAATAAAAAAGGTAGGTAAAAATTAATTGCATTAAGTGAACTGTATGCAAGTAAAATTGAATTTCTTTTGTTTGTGTCTCTTCTCTCGCATACCTTAGAACTATCAATGCACACATCTTTATACTTCCTCTTGTACCGGTGGCAATCTCCTTTCAACTGATTGTTATGATTTTGTAAGGACGTGATTAAATGTCGCATTTCCTTATTAATTGGACCAGATTGCTCATGAGCTGCCATATTCTGCTCAAATTCAAGTCGCATCATTTCATATTCCTTTCTTAAAACATCCAACATATCTTCTGATTGAATCATATCGGTTCTAGTCTTCTTTTGTCGTAACAGTTCTTCACTCTGGATACAAAACATAAAGCAATTTGATGTAAATATACGATATATATATATATATTTCGTTAATAAATTCAATTTTAAATATAGATTTATGACTATTTTAATTTGCTTACTTCCATCTGTTCAATGTGTTTTAAATGCGTTGTCCTCATGGTAAAGAGTTGGTTCCTCGTCTCATCAAGAGTCGCCCTTAGTTGGAGTGTGTCGTTATATATGACGGAAAATTTTGACTGAAGACATTTGTATTCTATCGTCTCCACAATCACAGATTCGGGTAGTTGACGTATGTCGATTCTTAGCTTTTCCAACTCCTTGAGCGTCTCTCTTTGTGTCTTGTGCAGTTTATCCAACTCGATTAATCTATTTCCAGCAAGTTCACGAAGCTCCTCAATTTGGTTTCGTAAATTTAGCACTTCACTGTCGCTAATATCAGGCTTCTTTTCTTTTTTGCCCTCCGAACTTAACAAATTCTGAAGCCGCCGATGTTTTTCTTGTAACTCTTGAATGTGGTTGGATAGCTTATCATCATAATTGTGCAACTTGTTTACTTCCCATTCCAAATCTTCAACCTGATTCTTGAGTTCGTCCACATTGGTTTCCTTATCTTCCAGGGTATTTGTTAAACTCTCAAACTGTTGGAGTTAATATAAACACAACAGAACAGAATATATTTTAGGAACTCAATTAACAATTAATTAAAGTTATCAAGTTATTATAATGAAGTAAGTAATTAAAGTATCAAAATAAGTAGTCAGTTACTATACCTGAGACGACATAATATGCAATTTCTCCTGTAAATCATTGTTGAAAGCTGTTAAAGCATTATTCTCTTCCATGATTCGGCAACATTCTTCTTTAATGATTTCTGTGAGAGTTTGTTCTTCTGTATCTACATGCATACGCAGAGAGAGATACACATATAGATTATACAATACTTTTAATATTGGGAATAGTTAGTAGCTTAATAAAACAAACCTTCAAGTTCACCCTTCAAAGCTTTCATAATCTTTTCATTCCGTTGTTGCAATAAATCAAAAGCACTAATAATCTTGGCGACAGCTTGTTTCGAAACTTGCACCCTATTTGCCAATTTTTCATCCAGTTCAGTCTTATCCCAGGTGGATAATTGAGTTAAAAATGAGGTTGAAGCTTCACTGTCGTCTAAAAAAATCATCATTAATAAGTTTCGCTGATCCTAATAATAACCTAACGTAGTTAATTTGTATGCAAAAGGTTAGGATCATATACAGTACTACAGTGTCGGACAGATGTCTACGTCCACATAGTCGCGTCAATTTCATTTTCAAATTGTCACTGAACTACTGAACCAATTTTCATCATTGATATATCAAATTCTCACAAATTTAACGTAATTTCATAAAACATATGAGTTATTTCTGAAAATTCTGGGAAAACTGAGAATCATAGTGCAGAGCGAGAGAGGATGAAATTTGAGTGGACAAAAGTCTACGTCCACTTCACTTTAATTGTCAACAACAAAAATCTCTCCAATTTATAAAATCAGGTAACTTAATAAATCTATCAATAACATATGCCGCATTAATTTTTAAATAATTTTCTTCCAGAAAAATATGATGGCGTCGACACGCAAGGAAATTCCTATCGCTATTCGAGATCTTGTCATTCAGGACTGGAAGGGTGGACAAAAAGGGGGCTGTCGCAGAGACAAATATGGACCAAGTATAAATTAGCAAGGACAACCATCCAGACAATCATTAAGAACTTTAAAGCTAATGGTTCAGTCCAAAACAAGGTCAGAAGTGGTCGAAAACCCATTTTGGCTCACCGAGAAGTACGCCACGTGCTCAACAAAGTCAACGTTACACCCTCACTTAGTGCTCCAAAGCTATCTACCGAGATCAAGGAGATGTTCGGCAAACAGGTTAGTCCTATGACCATCCAAAGAACACTGAATAAGGGAAATTTGAAATCCCACAGAGCAGTCCGGAAGCCTCTTATTGTACCGAGGAATGCAACCAAACGAGTGAAGTTTGCCAGAGACCACATTTCCAAGCCACAAACATTCTGGGACATATTTTATGGACTGACGAGTCAAAGTTCAATGTCTTTGGGTCAGATGGGCGTCGTAGAGTGTGGAGATATCCAAAAGAAGCTTTGAATCCAAAAAATCTCAACCCCACAGTTAAGCACGGCGGCGGGTCGGTAATGGTGTGGGGATGCATGGCTTCAAGTGGGGCAGGAAAAATGGAATTTATTGACGGAATTATGGACCAATACAAGTACCAGGGAATACTTGACCGTAATATCCAGGAATCTGTTCGAAAACTTGGACTTGGACGACGATTTGCCTTCCAACAAGACAACGATCCGAAACACTCTGCCAAGTCCACCATGGAATACTTCAAGAAAAAAAATTCCGAAGCTAGAATGGCCTCCCCAATCTCCAGACTTGAATCCCATTGAGCATCTGTGCGACCACATTGAAAGAGAAATAAGAAAACAATCTTTTTCAGGAATTCCGGGCCTTAAATCCAGAATTCGTGAAGTTTGGGAAACCATTTCTGAAGATGTGACCAAGAATTTGGTAAACTCAATGACTCGACGCCTTGAAGCCGTCCTTAAAGCGAACGGAGGCCCAACCAAATATTAAAAATTAATTGTTATAACATTCCTTATAAATTACAGTTTTTTTTGTATGTTTTCTCTGACTGGACGTTGACTTTTGTCCATCCAATTGTTTTCATTTTGAATTAAAATACATCTCTGGCCTAAAATAAATTTTTTAGCGGAAAACTAATAATGTGCTATGAAATTACGTTAAATTTGTGAGAATTTGATATATCAATGATGAAAATTGGTTCAGTAGTTCAGTGACAATTTGAAAATGAAATTGACGCGACTATGTGGACGTAGACATCTGTCCGACACTGTATTTACAATATAATATCAGTACTATGTTTCAGACTTACTCTTATTGTCCGGGTCATCATTTGAATCAGTGCCGAATCTTTGCAGTAAAATGCTAGAATCCTCATTTAACTGATTCCAATATCGATTAATAACATTGAGCACGGCATCATCCTGTGTTTGCCTATCTTCCAATTGCTGAATCCTTTCGCGTTGGTCAATCTCCGCTTTTTGACGTTGTTCAAGCCGCTACATAAAAATATAAAATACTTGTAGCCTGCTGCAATACGTATTTATATACGTAACATAATCATATTTACCTGTCGTAGCTTCGTGTGCTGTGCCTTGAGTACGTCCAAATTCGTCTCTTCCGTTTGCGGATTGATGCGAAGGGGTTCTTCAGGAATGAACTTCTTCTTGAGGGTGGGAGTATACATGGCCTCCTCGTTTTGACGTTTTAACATGATGGGGGACGGGATTGCAGAGGAGGGGATGGACATGGTCGATATAACGTCGATTGTTACAGATTATCAACCAACCACCTCCTCACCTCACCAGAAAGGAGAAAATGAAACCTGTGAAGTAAAAATTGAGAAAATTTTTTCAATAATTTTGTAATTAGTTGTTCAGGAGTGTAAGAAATAGATCAATTTTTACATTTACATTTTTGATCTGATTACTAAACTAAAGTGTAACATTTTTAATCTGCTACAACTAGACAATGAATGACCGGTTGTTGCTCCATACCAAATTCTTTGATCATGCCAATTGATTATATTTGATGTTACACTTTCTCCACCAATATTAATTACAAGTTATTATCAAAATTGACAATCTTTAATAATTTGTAATTAATATTTTTATTCACACTGTTACATAAGGTGTAAGGTAACGTGCAGTGTACAAATATTGTATAATTTTTAAACAACCCTTCTCACCTCGCACCTAACCCTACGTCTCGACAGGATCATAACTTTGACGGCTTGGTAAGGCAGCTTATCCGCATTTGGTTGGTTATCAATTGAGGAAAGAGGACGACTAAATTTCAAATTGAGATGATGCAGCAGGCAGGCTATTCACCTTCTTTAGCCGATTTATAGCTGAGGAAATGCCCGTGCTTGGGAGTGACGCTTCGAACGGGGAACTCTGAGACACTCGGATGCAAATCAAGTAATTCCATGCTTATGAATTGCTCGTGAAATTAGTTTTTGCATACTACAATAATTCCATGATAACAACAAACTGTGTCAAAGATTGATTTATATAGTTATTTGCACAACTTCAAAAAAAATAATGTCAAAAATACAAATAGTATCCGCTAATGACGGACGAAATAATTTAAAGATTAATTAACAGTTTATTGCAATTACTTCTTGCGGGGATCATTTGGGGAGCTGATACTGTCCTGTAGAATAGACGAGAAGATTATGCGACACTTTGTCGTCCAAGAATTTTTGTAGATCCTCTGAAGAACATTCCACTGTGGCGAAGAGTTTGAGCATTGAGTGGATTCTGGCGAGTGGGAGAGACTCTAAATTGGTCAACATGGCTTCGATATATGACCAGAAGACTTGCAGTTCTGTGGCACGTTGTGAACTGGTGGAGGCCATGGGCGAGTCGGTGTCAGCCTCTTCAACATACTTGTTTGGAATGACGCCGGTGGCTTTGGAGGTCTCGTTGATGGAGTCGGCAAGCATAAAGTTTCCACTACCAAGATTGACTATCATACCCTACATAGAATTAATTCCAAGTTAGTTTGCGAGCATGGTAAACTAAATTGTTGTACATTATTTATTTATGAGATAAACACCTTTGAAACCCAAAATCCCATCCTATTTGTAAGATATGTTGTAGTTGTTCCGGTAACTTGAGCCAATTCTTCTAGAGACCACTTTTCTATAATAATACAATGTGAAAACAAATTAACGTATATCAAATAATTTGTAATAAACATAATAGAAATATGTCAATTAAATTACCCTTTTCTTGAAAATGCCAAATTATGGTGGCTTGAATTGGGGATACTGAAAACGACAATTTGCTTCCTCCGTGTTCAATCTCTATCCTGACGGTACCAATATGTTTTTGCCATTCCAACGTCCGATTACCCTTTATCATTTCAAAAGCTTTGGTATACTTTTCTAGCGCCGACTGGACTGGATCCGGCAAGACAAGGCCTTCTTGTTTGAAACTGGGCCAGAATTGTGCAGAGACGACCAGACTGGAAACTTGTACCGCCTCATTTGCTAAAACTGCTCCTTCATCCTCATAGAAGCGAGTGTTAAGTCTTTGCGAATCACTAACGTCTTTCAACATAACTTCACACTTTTGTAAATCTGCTTCTCCGAACCTCAATTTTAAAAGTTCTAAACATTTAATTTCACGGGTTATCGATCCCGGCTTAGGCATTCGTAGTAATCGATCTGCTAGAAGGGCTCGGTATTCATCAATAAATACCGTTTTTGAACCATAAATTGACACCATCGCCTCAATAAGGTCTGATTTACGGAGATTGTGTTTATCTTTTGGAACATCAATTGGGTCTGGCTTCCAAAGTTTGTAATTTTTAAGATTAAGTTTACAAGTCTTATCAGGATTAGTAGGGTTTCTTGCAAGTTCTTCCGACAACTCTCCAGACTCTTCGGTAAGGCTGATGAGAATTACACGAACAGTCTCTTCCCGGTGTTTCAGATACTCTCTAACTGGTGGGGTCACTAGCTGCACTAGAATTCCTGTGGGGTCTACGTATTTTAGAGCTCTCACAGTAGCAATATACGCTTCGAGTACTTCACTCGTATTTACTCCTGCATTAAGCAACCTTCGTTCTAGAGAGGACTTTAAATTGACGACGAGCGAGTTTCTTAAATTCACTGTGTTCATACACGTCTTCAAATCGTCCAGTAGTGGTTTTGACTCCGGGAATTCAATAATAACAGCAAATAAATCTTTAATGATGGCAATTCCATACTGTTGCAGCAACATGGAGGACAATTCCATCCCAAATTCTGGAGGTGGACAATTTAGCAAGCGGCCCCCAGTGTCTCTCATATACAACGCAGTATACCAGGCATGGGACGATTCATTCATCCACGTTTTTAAAACATCAAAATTCGAAGAATCCACCTTGTCTGTCCCGATTTCTTTAATCTTAGCCTTCATTTCGTTCTTAATTACGGCAAATAATCGTGGTCCGGCAAGCTCGTCCATTAATCCAAGTGAATGAAGGGTCCTGGGAGAAAATGAAAAATGTAAATCAAACTGAATCCTTCACCCCAAGAATAATATCAAATTCCACAAATTCTCTTACATATTAGCATTCTGAAATCCTGCTGACAACATTTTACAATGACACGGAATTTCGCCACACCATTCACATGGTGTCAACCCCTTCTGACTTCCTACACCGACCGAATGTCTAGTAACTTTTTCAAAGCTTGTGGGATTTGTATCTGATTGTTGTTGCCCAACGACTGAACGGAAGCCGTGATAGTAGAATTTCTCCAATAATTCATCAAACTTATCTTGTGGAATATCCTTCTGGTTTTTTGACCCTAGCAAAATCCCCGTCATCAGCTTTTTGAGAAAAGTTATAGTATGCACATTCTTCGCATGTGGAGATGATGCCGTTTTCGTTCTTGCTTCATCCGACCCTTTTGAGACTTGTGACATAAACTTGATCGCAGTATTAGTCACAGCATCGTGAACGGCTTGAATCCAATGGGCCGGTTTTCTAGTGTCCTCATCAATATTCTCGATAATGATTAATCCATCCTTTAATCCGTCCCAAAACAGGGATGGGGCTTCTTCTCGGATCCAACGGATATATTTTTCCATCTCTAAGATGTCAAGCGATCGTGCATTCTGAAAAAGCCATATTATTGCCAATATCTAATTTGTTTTCACTCTCTCCATTGTAAACTGTACAACATTATAATTAATTAATATCAAATTACATAGGATCTGCCGCCGTCCTCCCCATCCCCAAGATGTCTAAATGCTTCGAGAAGTCCTGTCTCCTTTTTTCCCAATTTAAGCCCCATTACTGCGCTGTGATCGTGCAGACTTTGCGACGACAAAGTGGAACTTAACGCCCCACCTTTGTCGTCACCACCACATCCAGACGTAGCCGGTTTGGCGGAGCGGTCATCCTCCTCCCAGGACGTAGTCGGGAGTCGATATGGGACTCGGGCAGGTCGCGTTGTCCTCTTCTTACTTTGGGATGACGATGATACGGGATAGACAACTTTGTTGGTTTTCGGAATGGGTCGCTTCTTGCCAGCACTGACCTCTATTTTGATTGATGCGGTTGGCACACTCAGCGTCGCAGATGGCTTGGAGGAATCCCCACTTGTGTGCCTCATAACGACCTCCAGATTTGGCTTAGTGTCGACCAGTTCAACCGTTGAGGCGGGTTTCGACATTGAGGCGAAATCTCGCCACATTACGCCCTCCTTTGGATCTCGATTCAATGGATGGATTTGACTGACAATAATAACTCACTCTTTAACTATTTATTATAACTTTTATCACTTTATGAGTACGACTTCAGTCGTCTGTTCACATCACAAAAAATACTAAAGTTGTACTTGCCAGTTTAGATGTTAGAGAACCACTCGCGCTACTTCTGCTGGGAAACACGACTCTGAATTTCTGCCTGGCTTGCATGGAATTCCTGCATGAAACATGAAAGTTTCATGATTGATGAAACACAATTTTAATTGGGGGGAGGTTTGTGCATGAGATTCACAGCCAATTTTAATGTCTTTTGTTTGGATATGTTGTAGCAGCCCATGACTCGTGGGCAACGAGTGTACTAAAGCCCCCAAGAGCTTTCATATTATGGAATGGCCATATTTACGCCCGCCACACCCACTCAAAAGCATGAAAGCCGTTCTCCCCGGGCGTTTATAATTGCCACCCATTCAAATCCACCGAGAAGCCTATTTAAGTGGATAATGAAAAATGAGAATGAATATTATGAATATATGCATTTTGTGTCATGGTTTGTAAACCAGTTTGTAGTGAACTGATATCTATTGACACTTGAATAAAAGAACACTTGACTTGACTTGAAAAATGAGATGGACAGGTATTTTGTGTTAAAACTAAAGTTGGACTTTATTGAACAGGACAGTCTTATTTTTTGCGTGATAGTATTTACTAATTAAATTATTGATTTTTGAGCTGTATATGAACGACGGTCTGGAAGTAATGAATGTGCACTTTATATTCATTACGGGAGATTTTCTACACGGTGACCAGAGACATTTGATTAGATGACTTCTTATTGACGTAATTTGGATTAACTACTAAGTTTATATAAACACTTGTGGGCAACAAGATATCGAGAAAATTATATTATCGCAGATGCTTCCGTAAAATGAAGCGACGATGCCACATGTAGGATGTGATAGCTGACAAACTAAACCACGTGCAGAAATAACTGACGTGCTCGTTCCTTAAAGTCACACGAGTTTGTCCTGGAACAGGGAGATTGTCGAGTCGGGCGGATGAAAGGTCCATTCCAGCAATGGATTCGAGATCAATGAAGACATGCTCAGTTTTTAGTTTGTCAGCCATTCGAGTTACGTCTCTGTAAAGATTTTAGGGATTTATGAACACAAAATTGCAACAAATTAAAAAGTGTCAATATATAAATTTGAATCAAATCACCTGAAAATGTGAAAACTTGTCATCCCATCGTCCTTTGGCATAAACGGCTGACGTTTCTCCTCCTTCCTAACGACCCCAACAATTTCAATATTGTCTTCCGTGGATTTATATTTTCGAATAATACGATCCGATATCCAGCCTCGATTAACAAGGATTGAGAAGCTGTAAGGCCAAACAAGAATCACAATTTAGTTATAATAAAAATAAATGCATTTATATTTTTGGTTTATCCTAAATTAAACTAACTTCTGTCCTTCTACGCGAAAAGGAGTGATAACATGATATCCCGTCGGGGACGAGCCAGGTCCCATAAACCCCGAACTAGTCGGCTTAATATCGACACTGTAGTTGAACAACTGTCTCGGACCCATGAGCACCTCATTATCATATTCGAATCTACCTCTGAGCTTGACTTTAGTATATTCCATACTGTTTAATGAATCCAAACTGAAATAAATTATTATCAATCAATTAATAATAGTATTTAATAAATTAAAGTACAAATTCTTATCTCTTCCTCTTCCATGCACTACTGAATTTGTTTAAAATACGTACTTTTCCACCGGAAAATCCATAGGAGTAGCACGCACGACCTTTTCCATCTCTTCAATAACTTTCAACTTCCATCTCCACCGGAACACTTGCCAAATTCCAAGCAGTAGTGTAGACACCGGTATAATCTATAAAATATGCAACAGAGTACAAACCGACCGGTCATTTACTTTAGCTACAATTCTACTATATAATGACCACCACCACCACCCACCAGTAAAAAATATCCCCCTGGAGGCACGTTCATCCATCCCTTCGGCTCACCAAACAGTTCCTCGGGCGTGTGGATTTTTAATTTAGGTCGTTCCGGCTTATGTTTGAAACTCTTTCTGTCGGAGCAACTGACTGAAAATGTACGCACTGCAATAGCAAACGGTGACCCAGCAGCGACCAAGGGGGATGACTGACCAATGATAAGAGTAGGAGAACGAGCAGGTCGCACCCCCTCAACCACGATAAGACCAGGAAATCGGGAAGACTGGAATTTCTTGAGGAAGCGACGCAACATGCTGACTACGACTAACTGATCAAAACTGGAAAGTATGACAAAGTTTCGACAATATACATGTAGTTTTTAATGTAAGCAAAAAACCGACTTTTAATTTTTTTAATTTTGTCGTTGTACTATAATAATCTCCAACTTGGAGACGGAGAAAGTAACCAAACTTTGGTTACCAAAGTCGGGAGCAAAGTGGATGGCTGGCGGGCAGGATTTATTGGGGCGACTGAGATTGAGAGATGCTTTTTTACAAATTAATTGTATGATTCTGTATTTTTATTTCTCATTTAGTTATTTAGTAATGAGTGAATTAGTGTATCACAGAGTTTATAAAATCACAAAGTATAAAATGCAAAAGATTGCAAAAAATGACTACCCAAGAGTTGCACATTTTAATCCCTAACTAATACGATATAGGGTAAAACGGTTTTACTAAAACCACTAAAATTATAAAATAGAGAAAAATCGCTAATGCACTAAAAGTTAATTTTTAAAATAGTAGATTTCCTTCAACTCAGATGATTTTTGCACATCGTTCGAACGCTATTACTAATGAGACTATGGTTTTAAGGAAGTTTTGACAGTTATGAAACATGACGACGGAATTTGCCTAATTTCTGGATTGGACGCGTCTCATTGCTCCCACTGAACAAGGTTTGCAGGAGGGGGCGAGGCGTTTGGGGTTGGGGCTGGCTCTGGAATAGGGTGGCTATTGGGGGTGGTGGAGTGACAGACGATGGGGAAGGTACGACTCCTGCATTCCCGGATTGACCTGGTTGACCCTGCTGTGGCTGGCACTGATACCTGAGGAATAGACAAATATGGGAGGAAATTAGAAATGCTTTGTCAAGACATGATTATTGACATTATAAAATCTAGCTGTGTACTTCTGCGTATCTGCTATCTATTAAAAATGAAAAAATTCTCACTTTTGTCCGCAGTCGAATGATCCCTCTGCAGACGTCTTGAGGATGTCAAGATACGTGTGATAACTATCCGGGACGTAGGAATCCACCAATCTGGGACCACAATCAAATACATCATTTTCATCATCCTTGTTTTGTTACTTCGAAATTTTTGTGAATGCACTTACGAAATGAGCCCCTTCACCGTCTGGGCGTTTCCTCTTGCAAAGGCCCCCACCTCACAAATCATGCGATCTGAACAGGAGCCCGAGTAGATGGCTGACGTGACCACCTTGGCCAATTGGATCATGTAGTCGTCTTCTAACTGGGGGGCGGCTGCCGAGCCAATGTCCCTTCTCCACTTCTTGGATCCACTCAGGTCATCTAGCACGCTCAACTTCCACGCCAGCGCATACTTGACAGCCATCACGATGAGGACGAGGAGAAAGAGGGCCACGCCGATCGCCACAATGGGCACTATGAGGTCTCCTGTAATTAAACATGAACCAAAAATGTGAAACTTTGTCTATAATTCTTTAATATTTTTATCTCACAACTCACCCTTCAACCCACCCAACGCTCCTAGTGGTGTGACGGGAACATACGGTCCACCCCATCCACCCCATCCAGGCACAGCACCTCCGAGAAGCCCTGGAAATCCAATCCCACCCCCAATATTCTTGGAAATGTCGAGATTGAGCCCACCCCCAATTCCAGCTCCAGGAAATCCGATTCCACCAACGCCTGGGAATCCTGCGCCAAATCCGGGATCAGGAATTGCCATTGTCGTAAAAAGAGATGTCCGAGTTTGGGTTTAAAAAGTGAGATGCGAAAGGTTGGCGACTATGAAGAAAATTGCAGTGCGACAATTCCGAGATAAAATGGCAAATGGGACAGAGAGAGAAGACGACACTCATATTTATACCCTCGGTTCTTCTGCATGGGAGACATAGTGAGTGGGTATGAGGAGTCAAGTAACTAAATTCTCAAATATCTTGTCATGCAAACAAGGTCAGTGACCAACCGAGGAAACGATGGACGATAGGAACGATGCAGGTAGCAGATTAATAAGTTGATCACCAAATAGTATTTGGTAAATTAAATTTGACTTGACTATTTATATTGAATTGAATCGCATTTCATTATGCATCAAAAATATTCATATCACCATATTTACATAAATCAAAACTAGTCAGTCAAGGTACTCATAAATGCATAACTTAGCGAATTATGTAAATGACATACATTGGAGGTTATAAAATGAATGGAAGCTGGTGAGATCATAGTGGTGAGGAAGCCATCAGTTGTCAGTTGATATCTTCAGCTCGGTCAGTCCATAAGAAAGGTGTTCCCATTGTAATCGCGTCCTTTACATTTTGAGAAATGTAGAATGGGTCCAACTAATATACAAATAAAGAAATGATAAATCTCATTGTCTATAAACACATTAGTTTTTGAATTTATGTACAACACAAGCTAACCGATATAGTGTTATTAGTATTGCACATCACTTTCATCTGTTCCGTCATACAACGTGTGCTTTGTGATAGCAGGGTTTTCGTTTGAACATCATAAACAGCTTCCAAGTACTTGACCCCCAGAGCAGCCGACTTGTAGTGAGGACATCCTCGAAGAACTGGTCTCTTAATATAAGGCCCGTGGCTGCCCGCACTAAACCAAATATTTTCATATTCTTCCAAATGCTTCAGCTCCTCTGGGAGAAGAAGATCGGGCACGAATTCCTTGTATACTTTTGACACGGGGTAATGCTCCCACTTGAACTCTGTTTGTTTAACACTTTCAGTTGATACCCTGATACGGTGAAGGTGGTAGCGAATATACAAATCGGCAACCTGAGATTATGCAGATACAAAATCTTTAGTCAGACATTCAAAATATTTTGTATTTAATAAATTCAACAAACTATGCATCAAACAGAACAAATATTTATGCAACTTTAAAGCTACACCAATAATCTTTGTCTGTTCAAATATTTTGCTGTTCTCTGAAAATGAGCAATAATGCTATGAAATCCTTTACCTGAGTATCAAACAGATTGTCAATTCTCATGGCCCGTTGGTGGTATAAATAGTCCATGAGACGTCTCCCATTGTGACAAATTTTTGTAATGTTTGGGTTTCGAAGCAGCCGTGTTTCCAATGTTTTCCAAAAGTCATTGTCATTTTCAAGCTCCAAGGTATCAATGCAAACGAGTAGTCCTCGTACAACGAGACAAAACCAGCCCATTGTTCCATATCGACCAGGACTTTCTATCAGGCCACAGATTGTAACGTGCTTCGCTTTCATTTTGTCAATTGAATCCATCTGTTTCATAAAATACGATCTCGACAAGATTATACGACTGAATAGAAATGACAAATTCGACTAGATTCCATTTTGAATTGAACTTACAATTATCTTGAAATTATTTAGTTTTGTTACAACATGTGACACCATGAGTTGTTCGGGGCGGTCATCCTTGAGATGAATTTGATCCCTCGAACCCACGAGCGTCACTGAAACAATAAATATTGTCCGATTAGTTAAATATTAATAGACAACGTTAATGACATAAATTTGTTAGTTCCACTCACACTCAGCAATGTCATTACGCTTAAATTCCCGAATATCGAAATTGAACATGGTTCCGCTATCGTCCAAGCTTCGACCAATAACCTTGTGGAGGACGAGGGTGTCGGGTCGTGGGGTGTCCAAGGGATTGACAAGACACACACCAAAGTAAGCATAGCCTCCATCCCTCACGAGGAGATGGACGTCAGAATTTGCTTGAACTTCGATGACATCTGTGTGTAGAAGGGGCGACCCTTGTATGTCTTGCTGATAAAGCATCCTGGAGAAACTGTCAACCTTAACTTCCGGACCTGGATACAAATTTAAGCTTAAGATGAATTTAAAAAATGTAGAATTATGTCCTACTCCTCGGTGCTATGTAATAATAATGAGCTATAGTATTTAGTTATTGCTATTAGAGTTGTGTTGTAACCATTTGTCATAGATTTCAAAATAGTTGTGAAAAGTTTATACTGTAAACTGATGTCTATTGATACTTGAATTAAAGGTCTAAATGGAATCGGGGTATTATTACGCACGATCCATACTAACTCACCTCCTCAACTCAGCCAGTGCCGCTATGTCAAAAATACCTAAACTATTGCAATAAATAATTTAGTCCTAAAAATTTCTTAAAAATTGGCTCACGTGGTGGGAGAGCATCTGAGAGCTCATTTGGTTACCGGGTATGGGTGCAGGGGTGTACAGCTACTCGGTACGCACCTCTGGGCACAGTAACCACCTAAGCACGGTATGGTAAATACCCTAGAGATAAAATGACGGATACGTTCCATAGCTTTTCGCATCGATTTCATTGAATCAAATAAAATTAATTGTAAATGCAATTGTGGGTACAAGGACAAATGTACCACAACATTTTTTGAATTCTGTGCAACCACACCCCCTATAAAAATAAAGGAACAAAGTTCGGAAAAATGAGAAAGTCAATGTACATCGTGTAGAATAAGAGTTAGACCTATACTTGCATTTGCAATTTGACTTCCCCTTGAAATACGAACATTTTAATGCATCAAGAGTTTCAAAATTCGAAAATTGGCGGTTTTTTTACGTACACAGAAATCCTTAAAAAACGCATGGTACCACCCATTTACTTCGGACAACCCGATGCCAGATTTTTCTCCTTGGGAAGAGCTACATTTTCAGCTTTTGTTGCCCGAAGGGAATCGATGGTACCACGAGAAATTTGGGGTCAAAGTTTCTGAGGGAGGGACTTATTTTGCAAGAGCCGTAACAAACTCTGGCCACTAATGAGATATGGATTTCAACCACCCAACTTAATTAAGTTTGTGATATTTTAATTACCTAATCACCCCAAATTTAAAACTTGAGCTTTTTCGAATTTATAATGGTGATATCCACTCGGAAATTGACGCTACAGGGCTTATCACTGGACTTATCAATTTTTCAGATAAGCAAGTTTGGTTTATCCAAATCGCCCCAAATTTAAAACTTAAGCTTTTTTGATTTTATAATGGTGATATCCACTCGAAAATTGACGCTATAGAGCTTATGACGGCACTTATCAATTTTTCAGATTAGCAAGTTTTGTTTATCCAAATCGCTCCAAATTAAAAACTTATCTGAATTTCTAAATGCCAAAAATCATGAATTTCGGCGATTACAAAAAATTCGTATTATAATGTTTAGTAGACAATATGCAGTAATTTTGGGTTTCGACTATGCTTAGTCCAAGAATTATTTGATTATAAATAATTCCTGCTGGAAAATCCAGTCATCAGCGAGATAGCAGCAATCTCGGACCCTGGTCCTTTGCGCCTTAGGTGATGTTAATTTAATTATCGCGCGATAATTAAACTAACATTCTTACCAATTAAAAACAAGTCATTGAAAGCCAAGTTGATGAATTAATTTGCGATATGCGATCATGACTAAATTACCAAGAGATTTTATTTTCGTAAAATTGAATGAATTAAATAGGTTTATAAACCTATTTTACAACAGGTTTATAAAACTATTTAATGATATGATTTAATAAATAACTTTATTAAAAAATATCTTTGGGAAACAGTCACCAACACCACCATTCGAAGTCCATCTTCGCCACCACTTCCTTATTCATCGCTGAAATTGTCTAAAGAGTCTGTCTACTTCTTCCTGCTCCTCCAGTGAGATGTTGATTGTCCTTCCACGTCTTGATGCTCTTGATGGGAAGATCTTCTTGAGAATTTGTCCAATTTTGATGTAACAGGACGCGTTTTCAGAAATATAAGAGGTTCCAAGTTTTAATTTTGAGGTGTTTTGTTTCCAGAAAGTCACCTTTACTTCTTGGTCAGCAAGGTCCACTTCATCGATGATGGCCACGTACCACTGGTTTTCGTAGACACATGCAATCCAATCGCTGACGGCACATTCATCGATGATGACCAGAGGTTGAGCAACTTCGGATTCCATTATTTTAGTTGCCATCACCGTGGTGTCCCGAGAAACTTCATAAAGGTGAATTTTTCCCGATCCAATTTCAACACGGTGAGCTTGTTGAGTTCCAGGAATGGTTGTGATGGTCTCGTACCGGGTTGTCAAATCTTTTTCTTCAATAATCTTCTGAACTTCGGAATCCGAGACGAATATATATTCAATTCCCTCAATATTTGAACTGCACCAGAGGAAGAATTCTTCTGCGGTTGTAATTTTGATACCTTGAAGAGATGCAATTCTTGCTCGACGTTTGGCAATTCCTCCTTGAGCATCTTGAGGTCCCTTCATATGAGCAGTTGCTCCATAGTGCCATACGGCTATAATTCCAAAGTCGTTCTGATGGTGGTATAAGTTGCAGAAATTCTTGCGATTCTTGTATTGAGCTGCAGATCCATCTGAAACGTAGTGAATTTTGGTAATTCTGATTTGGGCAGCAGCAAACTCTCGAACAAGTCTTGGTATGAGCTTAGTCTGGAATGCGTAGAAGGAATTTGTGTCATGAGTGGTGCAATCACTGATAATAGATATGCTCATGTTGTATACAACTTCGTTCACGGCCCAGTAGATTGTGAAGGGGTGAATAGTGATCTGTTTGTGGGAGAAGTATTCGGACTGGACAGCATTCTGGATTACAGGTGAGTAGTTTTCGGAAAAGTCTCCCCAAATGAAGAGCTCACCAGGCTTGAGATTCTTTCGAAGATCCACAAGAAATTCATGCTGAGCTTTGCTGATGTAGTGATGTTTCAACAGCTTCTCCAGTTCCGAAGTTGCAAAGTCCAAGAAGTCTTCGGTTTCTTTTTCCTCAGTCACGTATTGAGTTCCGTCTGTCGTCAGCCATCTTCGGTATGAAATTGACGTGTTGTTCCTGATGACTTCGTTTTCTCTTAAAGCTATTTTGAAGTTTGTTGTAGATCCTTTACACTTTGTACATCGTCTGTAGTAGCAATCCTTGCCTCCACTTTCACAGACTAATTGTGAAATTGAAGGCTTGATGGATGAAATCTTGATGGCATGGAACAGCAGCTTCACATTTTCATGGTAAATGCACACGCAAATGTTGTGGTATCCCTTGCTGGTTAGCGAGATGCATTCTCGTGGCCGCAGCATCATGAATGACGATTTCCCAACTTTCGAATCCGGGTACTGAATCTTGAAATTTTGGTAGAGCTCCCTGAGATTGCTTAGAAGATATCGTTTCTGCTTGTGTTCTCGTCTTCCTGTTTCCTTGTTCTTGATGGACAGAAAATCCTTTTGTCCTGGGCAGGCTCTTGACACATCATCTTGATAATAGAAATCTTGAATATTGGATTTGGTTTCTTGGGTAATTTTGTATCCAGATTTTGGTTTTATTGGAGGAAGGATTGTGTCGGTTTCTTTACGACGTTTGCGGCTTCCCTGGACCAAGCGTTTCCCAATATTGAAGAAATCTTGAGTCTTCTTAATACTCCAAGACGGTGGAACTAAGGTAAGCAGTTGTTTTTTTTCGGCTTGAGAACATCCTTGCAATCTTAGCTTCAAGTGCTTCATGATCCAGTTGAGATCTGTAGAATCCTGGAGAAGTTGTTCTTGATTGTGTTGTTCTTTGTCTGGAATTGGTAGTCCGACATCTTGGAATCCTGTGGTGATTGTCTTCGTTACTTGCTCAAGTTCTCTTGTGACTAGATTACTTTGTTGCTTGAGATTTCTTCTGTTCAATGCTATTGCAGGGGCCGAAGGGGAAATTGTTTGCTTGATACTTGTTAACGTCTCGACCAATCTCTTCTTTGAGGCTGGTTCTTCAAAGATAGGATCTTCCGAATCTTGATCTTGAATTTCTTGGGTATCATCATAGCAGAATTTTGCGTCCTTGCATATCGCTTGATTTGGTAATAATCCCAGGGCTTTGTATTGGGTAAAGTAATCTTCCGCAGTGATGTATTTCACATTTTTGCCTTTGTATTTATTGTTATGCTTTGGATGACAACATGTGCGAACACGGCGCCGTCCAAAAAACTCAATGCATTTTGCACAGAAAAAATTATCACTGAAAATAAGTTTGAAATTGAAACCTGGAAATGACTGCCTGACAGACTGCATAGTTCTGCTTTGCACAATCTTGTCTAGAGGTCGAGATTCGTCTTCAGAACAAGTCCATCGGTGGTGGGCAATCAAGAGTCCAATGTCGCAGCGACGTACTATAAAGAAAACAATTACCACTACTTGAATTTTTGACATACTTTGAAACGTTTTTACTAATTGGAATCTTCCAATAGAATTTTATTAGCATGTTCTAATTTTAAAAATTAACCTGTCTCTGAATATTCAAAACTTTTGTAAAAATTTCCAACTGTTAATAATAACCCAATCTGTTTTTTGAAAATTTTAAAAATCTTCCCTAATTTAAATAATTATCTTGCAAAATTTAAATAATTACCCTATGTCTGATTTTATGAAAATTTAAAAAATCCTGCCCAAGTTAAATAATTATCCCATCGCTGATTTTTTGAAAATTTTAAAAATCTTCCCCAATTTAAATAATTATCCCATCTCTGATTTTTTTAATTTCAGGAATCTTGTCCAATTTAAATAATTATCCTATCTCTATTTGTTTAAAAATTTTAAAAATATTGCAAAATTTAAATAATTAAGCTATCTCGGCTTTTTAGAAAATTTTTAAAATATACCCCAACTTAAACTATCCCATCTCTGAGTTTTTGACAATTTTAAAAATATAACATATTATAACAATTTTAATATTTATCCCATCTCTGATTTTTAAAGCATACCATTTTCAATAATCCGTTGCAAACAACGATCGAAATGTAGCAAAAAGGTAAAGCGACACGGTCACACAGTCGTGACAAGTCAAAACAAA